CCACACCCACCCCATTGTTGGCAGTGGCAAAACCATCCCAATATGTTGCGCGATGTCGTGAGTTTGACATGTCTGCCCTAGATGGAAATACGCAGACTCACAACCTCTGCCTCAAAGAAAAGATGCAGACGCCAAGCAAAGAAACAACACAAAATATCCCTAAAAGTGTTCCATCAACAAACACACCTGAGATAAACAGAAAAGCACCTCAGACTGCACCCCCCAAAAAAGGAAGGCAAGTGTTGGTAATAGGAGATTCTATTCTCAAAGGAACAGAATCAGCCATCTGTAGACTGGACATACAATCCAGGGAGGTATGTTGTCTCCTTGGAGCAAAAAATCAAAGACGTGGCTGAGAACCTAACCAAAATAATTAGGCCCACAGATTACTGCCCTTTCCTCCTCCTTCACATTGGAACAAATGACAACAAAGAACCTGAGTACAGTACTAAGAGATTATATGCAACAACTGGCTAAAGGGTTGGTGTCAGCAAGAAAATTTTGGTTTCCTGGACCATGGACTGCATTTCCTACGCGAAGGAATCTTGGCAAGGCCCGGAATAAGAAAGACTTGCAACAGAAATCAAGGACAATAAAAATAAAGTTTCTTTCAACATATTAATAACAAGAAAAAAGTCAAGGAAACTGTAGGTCCACTAAAGAGAGAAGATCGCAAGAAAATAACAGGCAGTAGGGAGAAAGCAGAGCTGCTTAACTCATTCTTTGCATCCGTCTTCACGCAAAAAGAAATTATAGCCCAACGTACCAAAAAATCTATTGCAAAAGGCAAACTAGAAACAATGGTTGGAAGCTGATCAAAGAGTGAAGCAACCTGGAATTAAGGAGAAACTTCCTAACAGTGAGGACAATTAACCAGTGGAACAGCTTGTCTTCAGATGTTGTGGGTGCTTCACCACTGGAGGTTTTTAAGAAGAGACTGGACAGCCACTTGTCTGAAATGGTATAGGATCTCCTGCTTGACCTCCAAGGTTTCTTCCAGCTCCTATTCTAGTCTAGTCTAACCTAGTCTATTCGCTGCCCACCTTCATGGAAAAGGGTGAGAAATAAGTTTCTAGTGGGTATATAACCAAAGGAGAGAGAGAGAGACTTTCAAATCATAAATATTCTTTTCAGTCCAAACAAATCACCTTAGAAATACTAAATAACAAAATAAACAGGAGTCAACAGGAATAAAAAGAACAATTTACTTTTTTAAAAAAATATATGTTTTATTGATTTTTAACATAATCACTTTAATATTTGGTAAACAGCATGTTGTCTGGGTTAGTATTTAAAAAACAATAACAATTTCTATAACACTACAGTCCATATAATGGCTTTGCTTGATTTTCTCTTCTTCCAATAATATTCTCTTTTGCCAAACTTAAATTAATACATTTCTTATTATTTGAATAAATGACAATTAAATATAGACACTTTTCTCATGTTTCTGCAAATAACCACATCAATATAAAGCTTTTCTAATTGCCTGGTCATAGATCCTGTTTACAGAATTCTTATTTAAATTTGTTTTCCCCATAATATTCAAATCATTCTTACTGGTTAAGATTTTCTCGAAATTAGTTACATTTAAGTATTTAAGTCTTTTTTCTCATACAAGCCATCCCAACACTTTTACATTTCTCATATCTTAAAAAAAAAGCAGGAAAAACATTTCTTGTATATAAACCATCCCAACATTTTTATATTTCTCATGTCAAAAAACAAAACACAAAGAAAAAATACTACGTTACTTGAGCGGTTCATCCCTCTTAAACTAATCTTCATTTATATCCAAAACATTTCTATTTCTTTAACCATATTCAAACATATGTTTAATTTTTAAATATTCCCTCTGGTAAATCCCATCATCTAATTTCTTAATTCTCATTTTAGCCTTTTTTTTTTTTTGCCAAACAACTTTCCTGATCAATATGCTTCGCTGAATCAAAGAATCTTTCCATAATCTTAAAAGTGTTGTTGCAGGTACAAAAGGCAAAATAAGTAAGATGTTTTTGTAGGAAGGTTTTGCCCCTTCATATTCATTGAGAATCTTTTCCTTTCTTTCTTTCTTTCTTGATTTTATTTATCATTTTTTGTCTCTCAAGTTCTCGTAGTTCTGGCAGAATCCATTTTGTCAAATCTTTTTCTTGTCCTTCCTCAAACTTATTTTGTAATCTTAGGGTATAGGTTACCTTTTCCATGTCCAGTATTTCCTGTAAGTTTTTTCCCATCTGAGTTAAGTCATACTTTCTTCTATTGTTAAGTTCCATCTTAAAACCTCTCTCCTCTGTCTCGTATTCAGTTGTCTGTTTTTTCTGCTCACTGTTTTTATTTTCTGAGAATTTTTGTGTTGTAAAGCTAAATTGGAGATGTGTTCATTTATATTTTCAAAGTTATTTTTAATTTCCTCGTGGTTTGAGATCATTGTTGTTTGGATTAGTTGCAAAAAGAACAATTTTCTTATCTCTAAGCCAGTTACTACACTGCAAGGAGCCGCTGATTGAGTTATAGCAGGCTGAGTGGCTTCCATCTAGCAGAGGTCAAGATCAAATTATACTCACATTTAGACACCCCATAATTCTCAGTATGTTGTTTAAAATGAGGCCTTCACACCTTTTCAATCTTTCTAAAGTGTATATTTTGCTCAGAGGAACTCTGACTGCTCCTAAGCCAATCTGGCTGAGACTATTACCATTTTAAAGAATAAACATGACAATCTTAGATAACCTTCAGGACACATTATTACTCAGCCATGGAGAGATGGCTGTGCAGGTGCAAAGTCTGCTCTTTCTACAATACACTGCACAAATAACCGTCTGGGGAAAAAAAATCTGTCCAATTCTTTCAGTACCTTGCCAGATTCACAACAAGCTGATATCCAAAGATTGGGTGACTTAAGATAAACTCTAGTGGCAACACATAAAGCAGTTTATGTGTTTAAATGATCTGATTTCACCAACTATCCAAGACAACCACCTAATAGAGCAAGTCTTTAATTGGGGGATTGTCTTCCCATCTACAGTCTCCATGCTATATAGGTAAATGCAACTCTCAAAGCTTACTATGTCATATTAAATGACAAAAACCAGTGCTGGTTTTTTACAATCCTTTTCTAAAGGATATACCTGCAGCAATTAAAGTCTTCTCAGCTAATACTCAAGCACAGCTCCTTTTTGGAGCTCAGTTGGGCCCCTACAAGTCATTCCTTCTCTTGGAAAGAGTTCAGTCCAAATATCTAAGAACCATCTTTCAAGCATCTCCCTGCGTTTGGAATATAGTCCTTCTCAAAATTGAAACGTCTGCCTGGATTCACTTGTCCCACCGGCTTAAGATCTTTTTCTTTCCAGTTGGCCTGGCCTCTCTAATGAAGATCAACAACTTCCAGTGCTCCCGTAGTCCAGGTAATACAAGCCAAATTGCAGCTCTATGGCTCTTCATGGCCATCAACAAATGTGCTTTGATCTCAAGACAGCAGGCCATTTACAGTTGCAAGCCAACTTCTCAGCCAGAGCAGCTAAAGAAACACTATCCTGAGCCACTCTGCACACCCTCTCCAACTAGTCAGATATCTCAGTCATACAATGATCCCAAATTCAGAAGGACCTTCTCTTTAGCCAGACTCAATGCCCTTCCAACAGCGGTTACCGAAAGAAGTTAGAAAAAAAATTCCCTTCAAAGAAAGGGAAAGGGCTGCGGGTTTGGGACTGCATTTCTGCAAATGGAGTTGGAGATGATGATGGTAATGATGATGATGATCATCATACCTTATATTTTAAGGAGGTACCTGATTGACACCTCAGATGCTGGTAGCAACCCGTGTCAACCAACAGTGCCAGCCAATTTGAATGTTCAGTTGACTGAGGTTCATGTCTGATGAATAAAAGATAAAATGATGATGATGATGATGATGATGGGACATTGGAGGTCGTCTAGTCCAACGCCCTGCTCAGGCAGGAAACCCTATACCATTTCAGACAAATGGTATAAACTTCCAGTGTTGGAGCATTCACAACTTTTGGAGGCAGGTTGTTCCACTGATTTAATTGTTCTGTCAGGAAATTTTTCCTTAGTTCTAGGTTGCTTCTGTCTTTGATTAGTTTCCATCCGTTGCTTCTTCTCCTGTCTTCAAATGCTTTGGAGAACAGCTTGACTCCCTCTTGATCAGGATCAATGGTGTCCTCCATGCTGAGAAATATATGCAGACACTTATCCATCAGGGAGTCGTGTGATTGGCCCCAAATTTATTCTGCAGCAGGACAACAGCTCCAAACATACTGCCAATGTCATTAAGAACTACAGTTTCTTCAGTGTAAAGAAGAAGCAGCCCTGGAAATGGCCCACAGAGTTCTGATCTCAACATCATCAAGTCTGTTTGGGCTTACATGAAGACACCAAAGAATTTGAGACAGCCTACATCCACATAAGATCTGTGGTTAGTTTCCCAAGATATTTGGAACAATCTTGAAAGAACCTTGCTAAGTTCCTCCCAAAAACTCTGTGAAAGTGTCCCTAGAAAAATTGATGCTGAAAAATTTTGAAGGCAAAGGGTGGTCACATCCAATTTTGATTTGATTTGGATTTCTCTTCTGTTCATTTATTTTCCGTTTTGTTAATTGGTAAAAATAAACTATTAACGCTTCTATTTCTGAAGGCATCCTTAATTTACAGCATTTTTGCACAGTACTATGTGTGTAGACACATACACACACACACACACTTTTCTATTTTAATTAATTGTGATTTCTGCTCTATAGCCAAATAAAGATTTGATTTATAGATTGGAAGAAAAAACTCACTAAAGAGAAAATGAAGAGATGCTTCTTTAAAAAAAGATTTATAATTACTTTACAAGGAATAAAGGTAAAGGAAGGTAACAACTACTGATAGAATACCGCCCACTGAAAAAAATATAGTTAAAACTAAGGTGGGAAAAAGGGATTTTCCATGTTAGAGCCGGGCTAAAGCATTTTGGTAAAGGGTGAAAAAATACATTAAGCAAGAGAGGTAGAAAATTTTTATTCAGCACAGGAAATCTCTGATTCTGCATGCAAAGTAATGAACAATTATTGCCATACATCTTTACAAAAGTAATCTGACTTTACATGTTAATTACTTTTAGTCATACACAATGTTATTAACACAAGAAACTGGCATTCACCTTCACTATCCTACAATCTTATGTTCATTTCAGCCACATTTTAAAGGCGGAATTTTTTCAGCTCTACATCATAAAGCCAATACACAACCATACTTTTGACTTGAGAAACTTTTTAAATGTTAAAACATTTCATTCTGGCACAATGTTGTTATTGCTGCAACGTTTTGCTCTCTGTACCTTTTCCTTTCCCAGATCAAAACACTGCTAAAGAAAACTTCATTGAGCAACAAAATAAAGAGATTTTTAAGCCATTTTGCACTTTTTCCTGGTCATGAAATTTATAATTTTCTGAACAAAGGAGATTCATATACTGTACCAGAAGAGATTTAAAATTAAAAATAAGTCATTTCAAACTCTGAGCTTCTATTAGCAAGGATAGTTAGTTTATTCTTACTGAGGGAATTAGCATCATTGGAATGCTATAAAAACACATTTATTTTATGTAATCAATTTATATAGTCACCTACTTGGCACACAACTCAGGGCAGCCTGAATCATCAACAAACAAACTAAGTTATTCCCTCATTGAATGTATTCTGCAACAGAAGACTTCTTTGAATAAGGAATATAAAAGGAAGCAGTTATCTGGGACCAAAAAACTGGGCAGCGGGTATGGAAACTGATTACTGATAAAAGCATTCTCATGAACAAATGGCGCGTGCTGATAGTTATTAAAAGTGTAGTCAAGAGAACGGTTAAACTAATTCATAATAATCTGCGTGGGTCACTGAAATCCAGTTTTGCCCCACAGGCTGCTTTGATTGTAAAACCAACCCTCACTACATGGTGAGCGGAACCATAGTTAAAACATTCTAGAACAGTGGTTCTCAACCTGTGGGTCGGGACCCCATTTGGGGTCAAACGACCATTTCACGGGGGTCGCCAAACAAGGCTGTCCGCCATTTTTTCCCTTTTCTTTGGCCACGCCCCTGGCACCCGGTAATGTATAAGTGGTTGGGGGTCACCACGACATGGGGAACTGTATTATGGGGTCGTGGCATTAGAAAGGTTGAGAACCACTGTTCTAGAATGTAAGCAGGCCTGGATCAGAGCTTGATAAAAGGTATTGGACTACGCAACCAGATTTCTCCACATTTACGGAGCTCTGGCTAACATAGGCCACAGACTGGCTAAGAAAAAATGGGAACGACCCAGACTGTATAGCGATTCCCATTGATGACAGCATCCTGGACCCTGGAGAGGCCCATGCATAATAAGAAATGAATACTTGTTTTCTCCTGAGGTTCATCTAGGGTCAGTGCACTTGCTCCGGCTGGCTGTGAGGCAAGGGAGAAGGCGGCTCCAGCAATGGGGCAGGTTGCAGTTTCCCAGATAAAGCTGCTGGTTCCGCTTCCACTGATTGACTACCGTAAGCGCTGTCTTCCTTCAGCTCTGAGGCGGAGAGAAAAGAGAATCACCATCTTTTACTTTCCCCATTCGCTTTGCAGCCTTACTCGTAACCGGGTATTATTACCTGCACTTTGCAGCTTGTCAAACGTCTCTAATCTCTGTAATAACCTCACGCCTTCGGTCAGTCCCATTGAGCCAAGGGCTTCCAACAGACCTTCGAGACTGCCGCCAGCAATCTGCGGACAACCAGAAATTAAAAGGGCAACTCAAGAATGGGATGACCGTGGGAATACGTGAGAGAAGGACGACTGACCTCGTAGCTGAGCAGGAGTTTTCGGCTGGGGGAAATCGTGTCTTTGTACATCTCCACTAAGCTGCCGAGACCTAATTTCTTGGCCAGTTCTGTCCAGTTTTCCCCTTGGCAGCCCTGGTTTAAGAGCTTCTCTAGTCTCTGAAGAACATCGTTATTCAAAAGTAAGATGCTCCCTGATACGAAGAAAGATTGGAGGTGGAGAATGAGAGTTATTTATATGCCAAAAATCAAAAAATACTGCTAGACCAGTGGTTCTCAACCTGTGGGTCGGGACCCCATTTGGGGTCGAACGACCATTTCACAGGGGTCGCCAAACAAGGCTGTCCGCCATTTTCCCCCCCTTTTCTTTGGCCATGCCGCTGGCACCCGGTGATGTATAAGTGGTTGGGGGTCACCACAACATGGGGAACTGTATTATGGGGTCGCGGCATTAGAAAGGTTGAGAACCACTGTGCTAGACTTACCCTGCGTTTCTATGCAGGAGGATATATCCATAATAGCACTGTGCCCACTCCATAGTCAGAAGCAAGTAGGTACCCCAAATGACTTGGCACGTATCAAGTCAGGCAAGTTGACTTGACTTGACACGTGCCAAGTCACTTGGGGTACCTACTTGACTTGATACGTGACTAGTTTTTAGTGGGAGTCTGCCAGATTTACTCACCTTGCTTAGATGTACCCTGCTTCTTTCCAGCATCCTGTTTTGAAGCTTGTAGTAGTATTTCTCTCACCTACAAAGAAAAGAAACTGGATCTGAAATATTTCTACTAGATTATCTTTTAATAACACAACATTTTTACAAGGAGACTTATCTTTCGCGGGGGAAACCGCAGCAGTACATAGGCCCATTCCCCATAAACATTATGTAAAAACCACAGGGAGAGCCATCAGAAGTTCTTAAGAGATAGCAACTGAATTCCTTCACTGCCCCAACAATCAGCTGAACAACTTCAGCCATTACCTACCTTCTGGCTACCAGCCAAATCAAATGGGGTGTGTCCCCGACCCCGATTCATTTTGGACTGCTCACTCTCCAACACAGAAATATAATCCAGGCCTTGCTCAGTCAAGTCATCGTAAGTCCCTCCCAGTTCTGTGACCCATTCCTCTTCCTCCATCTCAATGTCACTGTTGGGTGGAGATGAGGGGTCTGAAACGGGCTCGTCGTTTTCGCATAAAACATCTGCCCCTGGGAAAGGAAATACAGAGAACGTCAGAACGTTGCTAAAATGGAGCAAAAATTATGAACAATTTACATGCTTTTTAGCAAAACTCTAGAACAGGGGTAGGCCACCTTGGTTCTTTTATGACTCGTGGACTTCAACTCCCAGAATTCCTGAGCCAGCCATGCTGAGGAGAAAGGGAGAGGTTTCCATGCTGAGCCATGCTGGCTCAGGAATTCTGGGAGTTGAAGTCCACGAGTCATAAAAGAGCCGTGGTGGCCTACCCCTGCTCTAGAAGAAAGATCTAATTATGACAAACCTCAGCTATGGGGGTTATCATTCAAAAGGTCAACGCTGTCAATGTTGATGAAACCATTTTTCTTATCTCCCATGTCTAGAATACATTCTTAATTCCATCTTCGTTTGAAAAAAGAATCAATAGTCCATATATATATATTGGTATCACATATCCCATCAAGGGTTTATGTAGCAGAAATTTATTGAGGCATCAAGTATAGAATTGTTAAACACCCAGAGCTGCTAAATTTATAAATTTATTTTTAGTATTACTATAATCAATACAGTCCACAAGGCACATTTGAAATGGAATGCACAACAGAATAGGTGTGGAATAAGCTAATCATTCTATTTCAAGGAAGTTTAAATAACAACCAAAGGAAAAGGTGAGTCCAAAATATAATTCTGTAATAGACTCAAAAATTATAAACACAACTAAACAAGCTGGATTGAAAAGAACGAATAGGTGGTAGAGAAGACAACACTTCACCGCTCCAATCTACTTGGCAAAAATAGGAAAGGGAGAAACAAATCCTAGCATACAAGAGAATGTACTACGTAGACCCAAAAACATATACCGTATATGCCGGCGTATTAGGCGACCCGGCATATAAGATGACCCCCGTCTTTGTCGCTGAGTCGCATTCCTAGAACGTCGTCTTATACGCCGTAAACTACCAGTATTTCCATGTATAAGACGACTCGGCGTATAAGACGACCCCCATCATTGGCACCAATTTTAACGCTTGCGGAAGTCGCCTTATACGCCGGCATATACAGTAACCCTCCTGAAGCAGGATTCCCCTCCCCTCCCCCAATTCAGACAGTCTTCAAACAATCCATTGGAGCAGGGGTTCCCAATTCCCGGCACGCAGCCCACTACTGGGCCACCGCCCTTTTGAAACTGGGCTGCACAAATGGCAGGTGAGCGCAAATGGAGCTGCGTGTGTGCCTGCTGCTCACAGAGGCCTATCCTCTCACCCACCCTGGCCGCCTCCAAGCCACAAAGGTTGGGGACCGTTACGTTAAAGGATGATAACACCCGTTAGACGGGAAATATAGGTAATCCTTAATTTATGACACAGTTGGGAATAGAATCTCAAATCTTTGAACAAAATGATTATGAAGTGAGATGTCCACATAACCACTTCAATGACCGCAATCTCGGCAGTCCTGGTTGTGGTTCTTAAGTGATCAGGCAGATCCTTAGGCGGTGCTCAGGGATACCTGAGGCGGATGGGGAAAGCCATGGAAGGCCCCATGCAGACCACTAACATGTGGCAACTTGCCACGCCCTGGGAGACTCAGGCCTGCTTCCTGCAACATCATGTCAGAAGGCTTTTGAACCATCACAAGAATGGTGCCTACTCTCACGGTGCTTTGGAAGCATCTTCTTCTCAGAAGGAGGCTTCCAAAGCACCAAGAGACCGGGCACCATTCTCGAGTCTTCTGAATGGTCCCAAGAAATGAGCCCTTCTGCAGACATATGGTATAAGACAGTGGTGGCGAACCTATGGCACGGGTGCCAGAGGTGGCACTCAGAGCCCTCTCTGTGGGCATGCGTGCCGTCGCCCCAGTCCTAGGCCTTCAGCTGGGTTTTATAAAACCTTTTCGCTTTACCACTGCAGCCATGCCCACCCAATGGGCCACGCCTACCCGGCATCCGACAATGCATAAGTGGATTTTGGGTTGTAGTTTGGGCACTAGGTCTCTAAAAGGCTCGCCATCACTGGTATAAGAGAGCCTCGATAGGAAGGCCATTTTCTTGTGTTGGTTGGGCATGCCTGTTAACAACTGCAGAAATACTGCAAGTGAGTGGGACAATTTACATATGCTGGTGGGCCCTGTCACTGGCCAAGGCTCCCAGGCCTGGTAGTGGGGGAGGCGCAGTCCCAGGCCTCTTGAGTCTCGTGGGAAAGGAGCAGGCAGTGTTATGTGCACTGGTGAGATGGGTAAGTGGCTGAGATGGAGGGAGAGATAAGTAAGTGGGTGGAGGCAGCTGCAGTACCTCTGGTGGATGGATTGCTAAGAGCCCAAACTTTTATCATGTCACCACAGGGGTACTGCAATAGTCATAAATTCTGGTGTAGTATATCCTAAACCAGAAATAGATGATTTCCTCTAAATGTTGTGAAATACAGCAGCCGTAACTATCAAGAGAGCACTATTACCGTGTCTTTCATTTATATTTCAACACATTTTATGACAATACAATTAAATAAACTATAAAGTGGGTGTTCAAGAGAGGAGATTGATGTGGTGAAGTTGGAAACTCATAGTAAGAAACAAAAGTATCAGGATATGAAATTTAAAAGGTCGGCAATTCTTATTTCCAAAACGTGAACTGTTTAACCCAGCAAAGCAGAAAGCCGAAGAAGAGGTGTGCCCATCCCTTTCTCTCCAACACACCCAGCCTTTCTCAGAGGAAGCTAAATTGCTCAAGATGTATTGAAGAAATGCGTTACCTGCACTGATTAGCATCCTTGTAAGAATTGGAGAACCCAACGCTGCTGCCAAATGAAGGGGTGTATTCCCAGCAGATGTCCGAGCATTTACATCAGCTCCCAGCTTGGAAAAAAAAATGATACAGAGTGAGCGGAAGATAAAAGACAAACTTTCGTATCTATGCAAAAGGATTTAGATTCCAAGATTCAAAGCAGATGCAGCCAAAGGACAGTGATGGCGAACCTTTTAGAGACCGAGTGCCCAAACTGCAACCCAAAACCCACTTATGCATCGTCAGGTGCCGGGCGGGTGTGGCCATTGGGTGGGTGTGGCCAATTGGGTGGGCGTGGCTGCGGTGGTAACAGCAGATTGGGTGGGACTAAAAAGTTCAATCAATCAATTCCAACTTTGCAAGATCTTTTTTTTCCCGCAAGAAATTGAAATTGACTGATTGAACCTTTTTTTTTGTACACAGCAGCGGAGGCCTAAAGCAAAAGTAAGTATAATAAATGCCTAGGACTGGGGCGACGGCACGCATGCCCACAGAGAGGGCTCTGAGTGCCGCCTCTGGCACCTGTGCCATAGGTTCGCCACCACTGCTATAGGACCTTGAAAACCTAGGTCTTGTATATACAGTTTCTACTTTCAGAGTGTCTACCATTTCCCAATAGGATTTCAGATTTCACTTATCTCCAGCCAGCAATAACAATCACTAATACAACCTAACTAGAGAATAGCAGATGGGAAAACGCTATGCTAATTAATAAATAACAGCTTATCTCATAGATGCCAGCTTATTCATCTTAACAACAACAACAATAATAATGTTGGAAGAGACCTTGGAGGTCATCTAGTCCAAACCCCCTGCTCAGGTAGGAAACCCTATACCATTTCAGACAAATGGCTGTCCAGTCTCTTCTTAAAAACTTCCAGTGTTGGAGCATTTACCGCTTCTGGAGGCAGGTTGTTCCACTGGTTAATTGTTCTAACTGCCAGGAAGTTTCTCCTTAGTTCTAGGTTACTCCTCTCCTTGATTAGTTTCCATCCTTTACCTCTTTTTAATAATTGCAATACTAAATGAAGCCAAAGTAATCCTTCCCAGAAACTTCGTAAGTATAATAAATACTTTAACAAATACAAATGTTAACAACTAAGAAACCTACTATAAGACCAATGATGCCTATTATATTATTATAACTTCATCAATTTCAAACATTTGTTCTCTATATTAGTTTCCATCTTCATTAACTGAATCTTCAGCAAGCAGCAAGCCGATCAAATTGGTAAACAATCTTAGGTCAGAACTGAATAAATGTTTTATGAAAGGGATGGAATCAGGGGGGCAAAATGGAAGCACTTTTCTATTTAAACCTCCCCCGGTATTTTTTAAAAAACTTTTTATTAATCATTTTATCATCTGCATATATTTAGCTTTTAGACTTTATTGGCATCAGCTCTACAAGGATCAAGAAACAAATATTATGTGCCGCTACTTTTATTAGAACACCTATAGTAACAGGACCTTCCAAAACTGGATGTGCTTCCCCTCCTCTTTCTTTTAACTTCATGTGAATTAGGGAGGTGCCTGATTTTCATAAATATCTTGGTAGGCCTTAAGCCAGCGTTTCTCAACGTTTGTGTGATGGCGACCCCCGTCACACAAATGTGCCGCGCATGCGTGGTGCGCATGCACGACCGCCCCATGCGCAGCACGCATGCACGGCGATGCCCCCATGCGCAGCGAGCATGCGTGGCGACGCCCCGAGGTGGGGAAATGGCAGATTGCATCGTTTGGCAACCCCCGTAAAATGGTCGATCGACCCCAAATGGGGTCGCGATCCATAGGTTGAGAACCGCTGCCTTAAGCCATGTTTATGTGATCCTTGCTCTAGTTAGTTCATCCCTCTCCATCAAGGCCACCTAGTAGATCCGTCATGGCGAACCTATGGCACGCGTGCCACAGGTGGCACGCAGAGCTCTCTATGAGCACCATCGCCCCAGTGCTAGGCCTTCAGCTGGATTTTATAAAACCTTTTCACTTTAGGCCTCCACCGCCGTGTGCAAAAAAAAAAAAAAAGTTCAATCAATCAATCAATCAATCAATTTTAACTTCTCCCAGGGGGAAAAAAAAGATCTTGCAAAGTTGGAATTGATTGATTGAACTTTTTAGTCCCACTCAGTCTGCCGTTACCATCGCAGCCACGCCCACCATATGGGCCACGCCCACCCAATGGGCCACGCCCAACCGTCACCCGACGATACATAAGTGGGTTTTGGGTTGCAGTTTGGGTACTCGGTCTCTAAAACGTTCGCCATCATTGTACTAGATTATCTACAGCAGAGTGTGCATTTACAGATAAAATGTAATTTTTTATTCCTGTGCATAAGAAAAAAAAATCAAACAATGGGAGGAAAGATATTAAACTATCCCAAAACACAAAAAATCAACTTCTCTTTCTTCGCAACAGAAATGTTGATGATGTAAGCAATAATAACTATATTAATAATAGAACATGACTTGGACACTTGTTAAACTAATAGACGTACTGGAATGGAATATGCAAATTGAGGGTAAATTCTCCACTTCCTGTTGTAAGAAATAAAGAGTGTCCTGGGTGCTCAAGATGCAATCGCTTCTTCCCCTCAGGCAGCTTCACGCATCACAAAAGGCTGCCAAGAAGAAATCCTTTAAAATACCAGCATTACTTTAATTTTAGATCATCTTTTAGGACACAGTTATGAAGAAATATTCAAATATTCATTGCCTGGTGACCCCTGGGTAATGGGTGATGTCACTGGCTAATCCTTTCAACCCAAAAGCGCCTTAAATGGTCCCCCTGACATGAACAGGATGGGAATGGTTTATTTATTTATCTATTTATAGTTACTTATAAATGGTCTGGGAGGATACATAAAGAGTCAAGAAACCCTCTGCAAACTCTGCGACTGCATGATCTAATTTTCCAGCATTGTTACTGTTGTTAGTTGAGAAGTCATGTCCGACCCATCAGAACCCCATGGACAACGTTCCTCCAGGCCTTCCTGTCCTCTACCATCTTCTGGAGTCCATTTAAGCTCACGCCTACTGCTTCAGTGACTCCATCCAGCCACCTTATTCTCTGTCGTCCCCTTCTTCTATTGCCCTCAATCTTTCCCAGCATTAGGCTCTTCTCCAGTGAGTCCTTCCTTCTCATTAGGTGGCCAAAGTACCTAAGTTTCAACTTCAGGATCTGGCCTTCTAAAGAGCAGTCGCGGTTGATCGCCTCTAGGACTGACCAGTTTGATTGCCTTGCAGTCCAGGGGACTCGCAGGAGTCTTCTCCAGCACCATAGTTCAAAGGCCTCAATTCTTTTGTCTCTCAGCCTTTCTTATGGTCCAACTTTCACAGCCATACATTGCAACTGGGAAAACCATGGCCTGGACTATACGCACTTTTGTTGGCAGAGTGATGTCTCTGCTTTTTAGTATGCTGTCTAGATTTGCCATAGCTTTCCTCCCCAGGAGCAAGCATCTTTTAATTTCTTGGCTGCAGTCCCCATCTGAGGTGATCTTGGAGCCCAGGAAGATAAAATCTGTCACTACCTCCATTTCCTCCCCATCTATATGCCAGAATTGCCATGTAATTCCAGCATTACAAAGTAGCAACTACAAAAATCTGTCTTGTTCCCAACTGGACTTATCATTTGTTCATAGTAACCTTCCTGTATGGTAACAGAACAGATCTACTGCAGAACGGAGCAGACTTGTGCCATATCATTAGCCTCACCTCCACTCACCTTCTTCATCAAACATGCAGTCATGTTAAGATTATCCATTTCAATAGCTAGATGTAAAGGTGTCCGTCCACTCTGCCGTTCTGCGGCATTCACATTCGCTCCTTTCTCAACTAGCAACTCAAGACAGGCTGGTCTTGCGTACTTCACAGCAAGATGCACAGGAAAAAGACCTGAAGCAACAGCAGTAAATATAATTGAATAATGACTGGCAGCAGGACTGGGAGGCTCATCCTACAAACCCAAACCAGAGCTGAAGCATCAAATATGATAAAGGATTTAATAATATTCTCACCTCCTCTTCCTCAGTCCTGCCTCTCACAGCCACCCCTCCTTCAACATCCAATTTGATTTCAATGGTCTTGTGACAAAAGACTCGGGTTTCTTACAATTTCCATATTACTCACCAAGATAGTTAGGTATCTCAAGAAGTGGGAGAATCTGGGGGTCCAAATGACAGAGAAGAATCTTCAGCATCACTTCATCATCCAACTGTACAGCCAAATGCACGACTGAGTTGCCGTATCGATCCAGTAAAGTGGGATCTGCTCCAGCCTGAAGTAAGAAAGCAGCCACCCTGGGCTGATGGGTGATCACAGCCAGATGTAACGGTGTCTAGGAAAAACAGGCCAGAACCAAGTTCCATCAAAAGAACTAACGGGATCAATAGATTTTCTCCAAGGAAAATTTCTACTTGCATTTATATTTTCAACAACACATTTACCTATATACACAATTCAGAAATCAAACTACAGAGCTTTACAGGTTGTTGTTGACTTAGAACAGTTCATTCAGAGACGGTTCAAAATAACAACGGCACTGAAAAAAGTGACATATGACCTCTTTTCACACAACCATTGGAGCATCCCCATGTAACATGATCAAAATTCATGTGCCGGACAACTGACTCGTGACAGTTGCAGTGTCCCGGGCTCATGTGATCACCTTTTGTGACCTTCTGACAAGCAAAGTCAATGAGGAAGCTAGATGTACTTAACAATCACGTTACTACAATGGTGGCCAAAATTGTGGAAACCTTTTGGGAAAAGTGTACAGTTGAAATGCCACCTTTGGTTAAGTTTCCACCAATTTTTCTTCTAATTTTTTATAATTGTAGCCTCGTTCACTTAATAATACTATTCTACATCGCTTTCTGGGCAACCAGTCAACTCTTTGCACCATGACTTTAATTTTATTACATTTTACAAGCTCACTCAATGAAAGAGCACAAAAAAACCCCAACCAACTTGATAGGGATCACATAGCGCACTGACAAATGTCCTCCTCTCAGCTTCAATACAGGACATCAATCACTGAATCCTACTGTGATCTGATTGGTTCATTGCCAAAACAAGATGACACCTGATTGGCTCTCTAAACACTTATGCTCATTGGCTACAATCGGATGAAGAAAAGCTACCTGAGATCAACCTAAGCAAGTTGTGCTTCCTTTTTCTGGTTATTTGGCTATAGCTTTTCATAGAATATAGTACAGATAATTGAGCAAACTATGTTGCATTACATTCTTGATTAAATTATCTTTCCATTGATATATAATTTTATGGTGGTACTACAAAAAGAAAAGTGGTGTTATTAGCCATCAAACCTCAAAAATAAACTTTTCCCAAAAGGTTTCCACAATTTTGGCCACTACTGTAAATAACTGCAGTGATTCACAACAACTGGGGCAAGAAAGGTCACAAAATGGGGCAAAATTCACAACAAATGTTTTACTTAGCAACAGGAATGTTGGGCTCTATTGTGGTTGTAAGTCGGGGACTACCTGTACTTAGCGTGTTTCCCTGAAAATAAGACCCAACCAGAAATTAAGCCTTAGCATGATTTTTACTCATATGCCTATATAAACCCTCCGTCCCATCATCTGGTTGTTTGCTGCCGCAACAGGGCAGGAAAGCACGCGTTGCACCAGTGCCACCGTGAGTTGAGGCGAGGCAAGTGGGGATGAAGCTGCCCCATGCGCCCCACACCTGCTTACTTCAAGGCCCCCACAGTCAGGCCACCCACGCCCCGCCACTTGCCTCACCTCACGATGGCAGCATCGGCATCCACCACAGGAAACCGTCCACTTTGCCTGGTTGCTCGTGGTCACAACGGGGCAGGTCGCACGTCTCACTGGTGATGCGGCCCCGAGGTGAGGCGAGGCAGGTGGGATGGAGCTACCCCATGCACTCCATACTCGCTTACCTCATGGCCCTGGCAGCCAGCCTGTTCCCTGCTCAGCAACCTCCCCCCACCTGTTCAATGATCTGGCTGCCCATCTGCCTCTTCCCTTTCACTCCCCTTCCGAGCCGGACTGTCATACTGTGGAGAATGGGTGGGGGAGGCTGTCGCCTTACCTGGTCCCCCTCCACTATTTCGGAAGGCCTCCACTGCCACTGTGCAACAGTTGCATTCACCACTGGAGGCTTCAGTCTCCGCTGGCCCTGCCCCACAGATCACCTGCCCTGTGGCGGCCCCTCTTCCTGCTCCACCTGCCACTTGGGTCCTGCGGCACTACGGCACTCTGCCTGCTCCTTGTTCGCCGCCTGTATTGTATGGTTTCAATGGCAGCAGCTCTGGGGGCCAGTTGGTAGGCCCTCTGCATCGTCCTAGCACTGGCAGTTTCAGCTACCGGCCCTCTTCATGGCTCTACCCACACAGCCACAGGAGAGTTATACCATACCAGGACTGGATGCAGGGGCACTCCGAAGACTGTGCTGCCGTGACTCCAGCCACCAACTCTCCTGTGGCTCATGTCGTGACCGGACAGCACGAGCCTTCCTGTGCCGCATCCCTCCACCTGCCAGAAACCCGCCAAAGCTGCCCGCCCGCTTCCTCCCACCATCTGGTTGCCCGCAACTGCAATGGCTCACAGGGCTTCCCAAGGCAGATGCTCGGGAGGCGAGGGCAGTACCAGTGGAATGTGCCTTCAGGCGAGAAGAGCGGTGCGGACAGGCGGGGTCAGTCAAAAGACTGGGCAGTGCAAGCCTCCCCTGCCATCTCCCTCCGCCTGCCAGACAACTGGCTGTGGGCGAAGGGGGCCAGTGGCTGAAACCGCCAGCCTAGGGACAATGCAGAGAGCCTATCAATGGCCTCCAGAGCTGCCACCATTGAAATCATGCAATACAGACGGCGAACGGGGAGCAGGCAGAGTGCCGCAATGCCACAGGAACCAAGTGGTGGGTGGAAGAGGAGGTGGCTGATGCCTCCGAACAGATGATATGCAGGGGGGGGGAGCAGCAGGGACCGAAGAAAGACCCTCCAGCAGCGGAGGCGGCTGTTGCACAGCAGAGGCCTTTTGCCATTACTCCCTCCTGGCTCCAAAATTGCAGAGGGGGACCAGGTAAGGCGGCCGAGCCTCCCCCAACAATCCTCCATAGCATAGCAGTCTGGCTCAGGAGAGGAGTGAAAGGGAAGAGGCAGGCGGGCAGCCAGGTCACTGAATGGGTGGGGGTAGGTCGCTGAACAGGGAGTGGCCTGGCTGTGGGGGTCCTGAGGTAAGCGGGTGTGGGGCCTATGGGGTAGCTCCACCACCCCACCTGCCTCACCTCACCTCACCTCAGGGCGCCAACACTGGTGCGATGCACGCTCTCCTGTCCCATTGCGGCAGTGGGACGGAGTGGACGGGTTCTTAACTAGGGCTTAATTTGGGGATAGGGTCTATATTAGGCAAGCAACCAGATAGTGGGATGGAGTGAGTGGTAGCTGCAAAATAAGACATCCCCCAAAAGGCCCTAATGAGTCTTTTGGTCCCCCCCCCAAAAAAATATAAGACCAGTCTTATTTTTGGGGAAACATGGTATGTTCGAGTGAATTCAACTTCTTGATCAGATCTCCCCTATGTGCATGCCCATCCTTCTCTCACCACAAATGTGTTACCACTGAATTTGAGACACTACCTATTATACCTGCTGTAAGTGATTTGTGATGTTGATGATCTGTTGATTAGGAATGCTTACAGCCACCTGGACCAGTTGCATAATCACAGCAGTCTGCTCATGAATAATAGCTAAGTGCAAAGGCCTGTGGGGGGAAAATATGGATTTAAGAACAAGGAGATGTAGTGGCTAATTGTAACAGTAATAGTAGTCAACAACAACCAGGAATGAGAATTGCAACCCCCAAAACCTCTTCCAATTTGCCCATAAACTGTGGCTGGCATCGTCAGAGGTGAGTGCTCTGCTCTACAGTTGCCTTGGCAGATCCCAGATAAGAGAGCAGAAACTAACTGAGCTCTTTTTGTGTTTGTAACAGAATTAATTTGATCATGTCATCAGAATTCTGATTGATTCTTGAAGTTGTAAATAGTCTGATCTGAAGAAGTTCCGAAGAAGCAAATTTTTCTTTGAACACATTGCTGTAGATTATATATGGTGTTGGTTAATTAAGTGGTATTTTATTTTGGTGTGGTGTAAAAGGGATGGAAATCAAACTTTGTTTAACTTTTAGACTCTTCTACTATGTGTACTATTACTTCTTGATTAAAAGAATATGGAAGATAGTTGGAAGAACTTGAAAAATCTGGGGTAGCGTTGCTACATAGGCACAAAATTTATTGTAAACACACAAATGCTAGCAGTCATGTAAAATCATCATGCACAATTATGTAGAGAAGTCACTGAGATTTATAAACATCCCAATAACATTCACAAGAAAGGAGAAAGTTTTATACCATTTATTTTTTTATTTACCATTAATTGCTATTTTATAACAATTTTCCCTTAGGTTGTAGCTTGGTGTGAAATTTGATTTTTTTTTCCAAATAAAAACGACATTTATTCAAGGTTATTACTTTTTTTAAAATTTTGTCTCCATTTTATCATGTAATGTTTTATTTGCTCTGTCTCCATATAACAGCTCAGGAGCAATTTACAGACATGTGAAAAAATAAGAACACCTGATGTAGGGTTTTAACATATGTGGGCATTCCAGTATTTATCTTCATTCTACAGTTAGTCCTCAACTTACAACTATTCATTTAGTGACCATCTAAACCAGGGGTATCAAATTCGCAACGTCACGTGACGTGTCGCGACGTATCGCAACTTTTTCATTGCTGGCAATGGAGCGGGTGCGGTTTTGGCATGTCGTATCCGGCCTGTGGGCCGTCAGTTTGACACCCCATGTCTAAAGCTATAACAGCACTGAAAAAAGTGACTTATGACCATTTTTCACAGGATCGCTGTACATCCCCAGGGACACACGATCAAAATTCAGACATTTGGCAACTGACTCATATTTACGACAGTTGCATTGTCCTGGTGATCAATTTTTGTGACCTTCTGACAAATAAAGTCAATGGGGGAAGCCAGATTCACTTAACAGGCACATTACTAACTTAACAACTTTCAAGATGGATTGGGCTGTGACCTGTACTGCACGTGCCTGGCCAGGGGGATCCCAGACCAGCTTAACGACTGGTACCAACTGGTGACCACTGTGGAGCTAGACCTGATGCAGTACAAGGGCCACGGGAGATTTGAACCGCGCCCAAAGAAAAAGAAGAGCACACGAGGGAGAATGCAGCTGGCAATAGCATCTCCTACCTCTGCTGAAGCTTCAAGTCGTCCCCCATCCTGTGCTTCCGCTGCGGCCAGGAGGGCCATCGCGCAGCGGTGTCCCTGACACCAACACCTAGAGCGGGTTCCGCTGCCCCTCCCCTCCGAAGCCTAACAAGCCACCGAAGAGGAGGAAAGAGGGGCAGCCCAAGTCGTTGAGGTCTCCCCCCGAGAGCAAAGGGGAGGGAACACCCCACTCAGAGGCAAAGGGGGGTGGTAAGGGCACTTATAGATTCAGGCTGCACCTGATGCTTGATTAGCCAGCCCACAGTACAAAAGTTAGAACTGCATGTGAGAAAGCTTAGGAAGCCCGTGAAGTTCGAACAAGTTGATGGCACCTTGGGAGGAGGGCAAGGCCACCTCCCAATTAATGGAGCCGGTGCAACTGAAATTTGGGTGCCACCGAGAGGCTATTTGATTCCTAGTCGCCCCAAAAATGGCTGAAGAGATGATCTTAGGGCTGGCTTGGCTAGCAAAGTGGGGATCCTGGATTTATTGGGAGACAGCCTCGAAGCGAGTGGTTATGAAGAGGTGAAGTCCCAATCCCCCTGAGAAGGAAAAGGGGAAGCCCGAGGAGGGGGTAGAAGCGAGGAAAGCCTTTGAGTACAGCAAAGCAGTATCAGAGAAGGGAGAGGAGCAGCAGGCCATCCCAAGAGTGTACCGAGACCTCATGGAGGCATTCAGCGAGAAGGAGTACAACGTCCTGCCCCCTCACCGCCCCACAGACTGTGCTATTGAGATCCTGCCTGGAGCGAAGCTCCCCAAGCCAAAGATGTATTCCATGACTCCAAAGGAGATGAAGGAGTTGAGGGACTACATCGATAGGAATTTAGCGAGGGGATTTATCCAAACGGCAAAATCTCAAGTGGCAGCACCACTGCTATTTAAAGAGAAGAAAGATGGGTCGCTGAGATTGTGCATTGGTTTTTGTGGTATTAACGCCGTGTGCGCGGAAAACATGTATCCCCTCCCCCTCATGAAGGACATGTTGGGACATTTAGCCAAGGGGAAAATATAGGGAGGCGCACTATCGAGTGAGGATCAACAAAGGCAATGAGTGGAAAACTGCCTTCAACTGCCCTTAGGGAGCTAGCAATTTAACACAATGCCTTTTGGACTGCAGGGGATCCCTGCCGTATTTATGCAGCTCATAAATGGGGTGCTACATGAGCATTTATATAAGGGGTTTTTGGTGTACCTGGATGACATCCTCATGTACACTGAAACTATGGATGAACGTGCCTCCCATATAATTGTTTCTAACATCTCTGGACTCGTTTTTATTTTTATAAAAGCATTCAAATTGTTTTTCCTGTTGATTTTAATAAAAAAAAATTACACACACACTCCCCATCATTTTACAGGATATTGGAGAGGCCGTAGTTTCACCAACTTAAGCATGATATCACATACTTCAGAAGAAGGAAAAACTATCTTGCTAGTGAAGAATTTGTTTCCCACAAGGATTACAGAATTCTTTTCCATATAAGGTTCTTTAGTTAAGTCACAGCCTTGCCTTTAGCAGAGCTGACATAGATTTGCACTGAAAGGGTATCCCCACAACGAGGAAAATACTAGACAGTGACAAGAAATTGGAAGACTAATTCTTTGCAAATGATCTCAGACTAGGAGCCCTCACTGTTCCCAAAATATACTTACGAATCTCCATTTTCATCCTGAGAAGCAGCCAAATGTCTTTGGACAGCCAACAACATACGTGGGTCAGCAGTAACTGCGTAATCCAAAAGTGCCTGGGCACTGCGCCGAGCTACCATGAGCATCCAGGAACTACATTCCTGAGCTAGTAAGATGGGGAAAAGCAGACTATCAAAACAAGCAGTGCAAGCACAAAACGTTTCTGCTTATACAACTCCCATCTTCCTATGCCTTTTTTCTTAAAAAGAGAATGATATCCCATTTACCGCAGTCCAACAACTATTTTTATGCTGATAGTATATAATGGGAAAGATCTCAGTGTGCCTGTTCTTCAAAGTAAGCAATACTGGTGAATTACTTTGATCTAAGTCCACTTCTACAGTAGTGGCCAAAATTGTGGAAACCTTTTGGGAAAAGTGTATTTTTGAGGTTGGATGGCTAATAACACCACTTTTTTGGGGGGGGAGTAGTACCATAAAATTATATATCAATGGAAAGATAATTTAATCAAGAATGTAATGCAACATAGTTTGCTCAATTATCTGTACTGTATTCTATTAAAAGTGATAGCCAAATAACCAGAAAAAGGAAGCACAACTTGCTTAGGTTGATATCAGGTAGCTTTCCTTCATCCAACTGTAGTCAATGAGCATGAATGTTTAGAGAGCCAATCAGGTGTCATCTTGTTTTGGCAATGAACCAATCAGATCACAGTAGGAGTCAGTTATTGATGTCATTATTGAAGCTGAGAGGAGGACATTTGTCAGTGTTATGTGATTGCTATCAAGTTGGTTGGGGTTTTTTTTGTGTTCTTTCATTGAGTGAGCTTGTAAAACGTAATAAAATTAAAGTAATGGTGCAAAGAGTTGACTGGTCGCCCAGAAAGCGATGTAAAATAGTATTATTAAGTGAACACGGCTACAGTTATAAAGAAATTAGAAGAAAAATTGGTGGAAACTTAACCAAAGGTGGCATTTCTACTGTACACTTTTCCCAAAAGGTTTCTACAATTTTGGCCACTACTGTAAATACCTGATCCTAGATGAGTTGGCTATGGCAACAGCATGGACTTGCCAGGAGATTTGAGTAGTTTAGTTATCTACAGTTCGGCTGGTGTTGCCAACACAAAAGCAAGAGCTATTCTACTAGTTTTCAGTTAGTTGCAGTCGGTACAGGTAGTCTTCGACTTACAACCAGTCACTTAGTGACTATTCAAAGTTATAATGGGCCTCTCTAGAGATACTTATGACCTGGATTTGAAATTGATTGCACCCCCCCCCTCAAGGTCTCATGATCACATGTTGGGCACTCAGCAAGCAGCCTTCATTTATGGCCATCTGCAGCATCCTGTGGTCACATGACTGCAATTTACGATTATTATTTTTTACCAGAAATCAGCATTTACTTCTGGTTTCTGGCAAAAAACATTCACTGTGGATAATGGATTTGCTTAATGATTGCAGCATTCAGTTAATGACCATCGCACAGTCATGTGCTGGCACAACTTACAACTGTAATTCTGGGCTCAGTTGTGGTCATTAAGTCAAGGACTACCTATACCAGGGGTAGGCCACTTTGGCTCTTTTGTGACTCGTGAATTTCAACTCCCAGAATTCCTGAGCCGGCATGGCTCAGCTTGGAAACCTCTCCCTTTCCCCTCAGCATGGCTGGCTCAGGAATTCTGGGAGTTGAAGTCCACGAGTCATAAAAGAGCCAAGGTTGCCTACCCCTGCATTAGTCTCTGACAGAAAAGCAAGACATGTTATCCCCAAAATGTTAATTATTTTTACAGGAGAAAAAACTAATATACTTCTAAATATAAGTCACAAACACTTTGAATCAGATAAGAGAAAAAGAAAGCTTCCACGTTGACTACTCTCCTTTGGTTTATGAGCAAATTCTCTAATACTTTGTTTAAAAAACAAAGGACAGTCTTGTGAAAATGACTTATCACCTTGAAAAGCACTTTCTAACAATAGCGCTTATTTCTCATCACAAGTATCAATTGTTTGGTACAGATAAATGCATTCATGCTGAAGCTTGATATGTGAACTATATATATTTCAGTAACTCAGAATACAAAAGTTAGATTTTTACAACTTTGGGCTCCTTTCGAGGTTCTGAAGATTGTGTTTATTTGTACATCATTGTACAAATAAGAAGATTGTACATTATTTGTACATCATCAATGAAATTCAAACATTTCAGAAAGAGCCTGGACCATTTAAAAAAATTAAGCTGGCAGCCCAGGTTTGACACGAGTGACGCACAGTTAATGGAGATGAGCATTGCCCCCTAAAGTTGGACATGATTCAGCTGGGAAAGCTTTACCTTTACCTTTAGAAGTCTCAACAATGAAAGCTGAATTCTGATGCTTCCCAAACAGAGAAAAAATAGTTTTTGCTTATCTCCCCAGCCATACCATGCTGCAGCAGTTCAATATAATCACTGTCGTCTTCTGAAGGATGATGTTCACTATCTTTCAGTCTAGCAGTTCTGGGCATCTGGATACCTCTTCCACCTTGATAGTTGCCTATAGGATGCGATCCAGATAGGTAGATGCTGTTGTTATATGGACTATATCCTGAAGAATGCCAGGGACTCCCAGCTAGAAGAGCAGAACAAAAAAAAAGGCCATGCAATTTAGAGTATATATGTTTAAAAAGAGACATTTTAAGTGTTCATAACCATATTGGTTGTTGCTGTAAGAACTACCTAAAAAGTCAAGTCTTTTTTTGCAAGTTTTGTATATATGCAAAATGGTAACATGCTTTGTAAGGGCACTGTGGCCACAATAAATGACCATTTATAAGAGAATTATAACTACCACTCAACTATTCAGCTATTGTACTTTATTTACTTCAGACTGATAATTAAACTATAAGAACTGGTTACTTTCACTTCCGGTTCGCATCGTGGCATCACAGATGAGGGAAAAGCAGGGCTCCGCTTCCCATGGCTGATTTCTCCCTGCCAGGGGGCCCTAAAAGGATCTAAAGTCTCCCCGGAGAGGCGATGAAGAAGGAGGGAACCCTCGTCGATCACGGAAAGATGGCGGTCAATCCATTTGATCAAAGGAAAGCCCTCTAAACCAGCAGGGGAAAGACGAGCTGCATTCATGTGATAAGTCAGAAGTTACTTACAATCGAAGAAAGAAATTATTATTTAGCAAATTGTGGGCATCGTGTTTGGAACCGGGTAAGACTTTTTTTCCTTTTTCTACTATTTGGCTACTGAGTCCCTGGAAAAGATAAATTCCCCAAAAACAAAAAAAAAACAGACACGAGAGGGAAGGGAATTTTTGCCCCTTCCCTCCAGAGAAACGAAAGCGGCGATTTAATCCTTGTTTTGGGGGACAGAAACAGAGAAGAATACAACATTAAATTGGAAATAATATAAAGACACAGCTTGACAAACTTGGCAATTTAGAGAATTCATAAACTTTTTTGAAAAAAGATTGGGTGAAATTTAAGAACTAAACTTCATTTTAAGTGTTGGAAGATGAATACCTAATGACATCTAGTGGTGGAATGTAGGCATAGCACCTAACTTTATTATGTCTGGAGTGAACTTGGCATGAAGCCCAGACATAGATAATAAGTTACCTCTTTAATGTCTCTGGAGCTCTGCAGACAGCAGCTGAAAATAGAGAAAAACACTTTGGGTTGTTCTCTGTATGGTGGGAGCTATAGATTGTTTTGAAACTTGCTGATCTTCTTGGATTATAAACATCGATTTACTTTTAACTACAAGAATGATTTAGAGACAGAAAAAAAGTTGCCTCTGGATTATCTCTGCCTGGGGAAACCTATAGATTGGCCTTAGGACAGCTGGACATTTTGGATTACAAATATTGGTCGATTGACAATACCGGTACAGTAGATGCCGGCTCAAGCAGGAGAATCTATACCATCTCAAACAAGTGACTGTCCAGTCTCTTCTTAAAAACCTCCAGTGATGGAGCATCCATGATTTCTAAAGGCAAGCTGTTATACTGGTTAATTGTCCTCACTGTTAGGAAGTTTCTCCTTAATTCCAGGTTGCTTCTCTCTTTGGTTAGTGTCCAACTATTGTTTCTTGTCCTGCCCTCTGGTGCTTTTAAGAATAATTTGACACCCCCCCCCCTTCTTTGTGGCAGTCTCTCAAATACTGGAATACTGCTATCATATCACCCCTATTTCTTATTTTCTTTAGACTAGCCAAACCCAAGTCCTGCAGCCGTTCTTCATATGTTTTAGTCTCCAGGCCTTGGATCAACTTAATTGCTCTTCTCTGAACTTTTTCCAAGGTCTCAACCTCTTTTTTGTAGTATGGTGACCAAAATTGGTTACAATATGCCAGGTGTGGTCTCACTAGGGTTTTATAAAGCAGTACTAATACTTCATGTGATCTTGATTCTATGCCTCTGTTAATGCAACCCAGGATTGTATTAGCTTTATTGGCTGCTACTGCACATTGCTGGCTCATAGTCAAGTGATCGTCCACTAAGACTCCAAGGTCCCTCTCTTAGTTACTGTTTTTGAGCCAGCTCTCACCTAATCTGTACTTATACCTTTGATTTTTCCTGCCTAAATGTAAAATTTTGCTTTTCTCCACATTAAAATTCATTTTGTTGGATAGGGCCCATTGTTCGAGTTTGTCAAGATCTTTTTGAATCCTAAGCTTGTCTTCTGGGGTGTTGGCTATTCCTGCCAGTTTAGTGTCATCTGCAAATCTGATGAGTTCCCCTTCTATTTCCTCATCTAAGTCACTGATGAAGATATTGAACAGTTCTGGGCCAAAGACGGAGCCTTGTGGTACCCCACTGCTTACTTCTCTCCATGTGGATGTAGTACTATTGAGGACTACTTGTTGAGTATGGTTTGTCAGCCAGCTACAAATCCATCTGGTGGTGATGTTGTCTATTCCACCTTTTTCTAGCTTACCAAGCAGTAGATTGTGGTCTACATTGTCAAATGCCTTACTAAAATGTAAGTATACTATGTCCACAGCGTTTAGCTGATCTACTAATTTGGTCACTTTATCGAAGAATGAAATAAGATTGGTTTGGCATGATCGGTTTTGAACAAACCCCTGCTGGCTACCAGTTATAACTTTGTTTGCTTCTACAAAAAAAAGTCTTTGATTTCAAGTTAAATTGCAACAAACCATTAAAAAATTAAAACCCAGAAAATGCCGTCAAGTATTAACATTTACCTCCACTAGAACCAAATCCACCACCTCCACCACCAGCGCCTCCCATAGGCGCACCGCCACCAAAGTGCTGGGGGAACTGAGGTAAGATCTTCTTACGCTTCCTTTCCACTTCTTCCTTATCTGCAGCCAAAGATATAGAAAAATAATCAATGATGTGCCCTGCCACACTATTGAACACCAAAAGTAGCACGTCACATGGAGTGCCCTGTACCTTCTACCACTGGGTAGTATGTAAACTGCTTGGAGTCACTCACGTCACCCCCTCGCTTGCGCTTCAACTGAAGGAACACAGTGACTGGACGATCTATTTTTGTCTTGTGATAAGGCGGAGTACGGAACACAATGGCGTACTGCAAGGACACAAAACATGGGTTTAGTGCAATCACATATGTCACATACCCTTGCAGTGCATAAACGCTTAAAACTTTTACCTAGGTGCAATAATAAGGACATAAAGAAATCAGTTTACAGGTAGTCCTAGTATAACTTTCTTAATTGGGACCAGCAACTCTGCCACTAAGCAAAGCAGTCACTAAGTGGGAAATCACATGACTGCAACTGTGCTTTCCAGCTGGAAAGAGACAAGACTACTCAGTTTCATACATTTTGCTTTTGTTTGCTTCATATGTACTTCTACATCCTTTGGAATGTTCCAGTGCCTGCTTATTATCTTGAACGCATCTTAAGCAATGCAATCAACTGAAGGAACACAGTGACTGGACGAGCCAAGAACACAATATAGAAGCAGCTTACTCTCTTGAAACCCTTTCCAATCCCTCTGCTCCACAATTGGGAGGATGCAAATGTACTGTAAGTTGTTTGCATAATTCGCCGACAGTTCACAGCCCTGGACTGCCAGTGCACTCATACTGCTTTCAGTGCATTAAAGAGCAAACAGCTCATTCTCTCATAATCCCTTTCTCTCCAATCTCTCTGCTCTACAAAGAGGGAAAAAAGAAAAAAACACATTCTATTCTATTCTATTCTATTCTATTCTATTCTATTCTATTCTATTCTATTCTATTCTATTCTATTCTACTCTACTCTACTCTACTCTACTCTACTCTACTCTACTCTAACCATTTCTAGGCAGGAATAGCCAGATAGTAATCGCAATGCAATACATATACAGCTGCCTCTGAAGATAATTCAGAACTAATTAATCCATTATATTGCTTCATCAGCTGCAATTACTAGTACTAATTTTTTAAAGCATTTCAAGATTTTATTATTGGTTTCCAAAATCATAAAGCATCCCACAGCATCCTACATGTTCCGTTTATCTTCAAATAATTCTCCACCTCAAATGACCCCATCAAATCAAATTAAGTGGATAATGTAGAGGAGAAAGTCATCTTAATTAAGGGTCCTCTTTACTAAAAATGTTCCCTATAAGTATAACTAGATGCCCTCACTGATGTCCTTTCAGCATTAGGTTTTAGTATTTTATTTCTACAAGATATTCTAAAGCTTTTCAGTTATGATAGTAGATTTATTTGCTCGTATACTATTAATAAATTGCATTTTATTTTTCTTGATCTTATCAAGTGTATTACTTTAGTAATTGTAATGTTTATTATTTTAGTAGTTTTAATGTGTTCAGAAATTTTGTAATCCATCCAGAAAATTCTGAATACTGGATTAGAATGTAACAAAACAAAAATATCTTTGATCTACCACAATACAAAAAGTCACTCTACAGAATCAAAACTACAGATTTTTTTATAAGTCTTTACCACTCAAACTGGCTCTCATAATTCAATCAATCAATACCTGTTTATGCACATCGGTGGGGGAGAAATCTCCAAAGGCCTGCCAACCATTCTCATCATCTTCATAAAAACGCACCTCAATATCATCTAACAGAGGAGGCAAAAAAAAATATGGTAACATTGGACTATTAATACTCATCGCAACCCCACTTTGTCCCATTCACTATTATATTACTACAGTGGTTCTCAACCTTTCTAATGCCGCGACCCCATAATACAGTTCCCCATGTTGTGGTGACCCCCAACCACTTATACATCACTGGGTGCCAGGAGCGTGGCCAAAGAAAAGGGGGGGGAAAAATGGCGGACAGCCTTGTTTGGCGACCCCCGTGAAATGGTTGTTCGAGCCCAAATGGGGTCCCGACCCACAGGTTGAGAACCACTGTATTACTACATCATAAAAATTAGGAGATATTGGGTGAGATGCTATCAGATAGTTGATGATTTCTAGTAGTGTTTCTCCACGTCATGCAAGTTAAGGGAAATGTAGTGGTAGACTAGACATTTTGGAAATGGATTTCATTCTCAAGGACAAAGGAAATCAAATGCATGTTTCTAAAAAATAACATTTCTGTATCTATTTCAGGAGTGAAAGTACAATGCCAAAAACTAAGCAGGATTAGATATGGTACTTACCTTTCTGGACTTTATCACACAGCAAATATACTTCATCTCCACCTCGCACCGAGCCTGCCGTCTTATCCATTCGAGATATTTTTAAATTGGAAGCTCCAGGAGATTCTGTAGAATAAAAAAAAAAAACCCTCACAGATATATAAAATTGTTTCTGGAACAATTGTAAAACTATGAAAATGTACTAGATGATGGAGTCATTATAAGGATCATAATTTTGGCTAATTTTAATAAACAGTGAAGAACGTAGAACATGAGCAGAAAGATTGCTATTTCAATTTGTGGTGGGTTCTGGACACATTCGGAAGGAAGCAAGAAAATCCTACTGATTCCAAAAAATTTAAAAATAAAATATTAAAAAAATATGAAACTCTTCTGTCAAAACTCTAACATAAAGATCAGGATAAAGGAACTTGTCATTTAAGGCCTGAAAAAAAAAGTTTTATGGTCACAAGCCATCATTTATGGCATTATTTATTTTCCAGAGTACAAATGTTCCTCATGAGATGGAACAAATCAAGAACTTTTTATCTCTGGGAATATAGTCCAGGAATAGGCAACCTTGGCTCTTTTATGACTCGTAGACTTCAACTCCCAGAATTCCTGAGCCAGCATGGCTCAGCTTGGAAACCTCTCCCTTTCCCCTCAGCATGGCCGGCTCAGGAATTCTGGGAGTTGAAGTCCACGAGTCATAAAAGAGCCAAGGTTGCCTATCCCTGGCTGGCTCAGGAATTCTGGGAGTTGAAGTCCACGCCTCATAAAAGAGCCAAGGTTGTCTATGCCTGGGATATACTAATTCCAGGCATGGACCTCTCAGACTTTTATCAGCAGATATGGCTACTCAAACAAACAGATGCAAGATGATTCGCCTTGCAAATATACTTCATTTAACAAAAAGAAAATGGGAAGTCTAGCAAAGGAACTCTGCAATAACTGACTGGGGGAAAAGAGAGGAACTACAAGGCATCCTCTTTTTTCCTATCCTATTGCTTCATATTGGACTTTATAACTGTCACTTAGTGATGGAATGCCCGGTCTCAATTATTATAGTTAACTGGGGACTACCTGTACTACCATGTGAAAGCACTAAGATTCCTATCAGTGAAATCACTGGGTAAGACGGAAAATTTTTAGGAATCTGAGGGCTATGAAAATAGCTTGTGCAAGTTATATGCATTTTATATCTTAAAGGCGATGCAGTGCTTAGAATGCAGTATTGCAGGCTAATTTTGCTGGCTGCCAGCAGTTCGATTCTCACCGGCTCAAGGTTGACTCGGACTTCCATCCTTCCAAGGTCGATAAAATGAGGACCCAGATTGTTGGGGGCAATACGCTAACTCTGTAAACCTCTCAGAGAGGGCTGTAAAGCACGGTGAAGTAGTATATAAGTCTGAGTGCTAATAGTATTGTTAAATTGTCAAAAAAAAAACCCAAATCATTGAATTGTTTTGCTGCTAAATTGTGGAAATATGACATGGGAGTCTCCAGAGATCACAAAAATGGGACTGCATTTAATCCATGAGCTCCCCATTCTAGCTGGGCGTGACAGAGGAGAAAATACAATATTCATTGGATCCACAAAGGATCAGAGCCATGTAAGAAGTCTAGCAAATTCCTCTCAAAAATATGTACGAATATTAAGCTTTTTATCTTCACGGCAGATAGAAAAATCATCACAATCTGGGTATATAGCAAGATCTAGCTTTTTTGTGTACATTTTACAGCAGCCTTACAGTAAGGCTGTAAAAATATGAACACTGCAAAGTACTCACAAATGTACATGTGCAATCCTGCCAAATCCAAATCAGAAATATATTATAGTAGGTAACCCCTAAACCATGTCAAACACAGCTATGGATCAAAAGTAAAACTTACTGCTATCATGAATGGGGTCAGAAATAACAGAATTTAATGCTAAAGTGAAGTTTCCACTACTATCGCGAAGGTAGGCATTGAAGCGTAAACGAACAATGCTGAGATCCATTGTCTTCTTCAACTCTTTTGCTTCTTGGTCAATCAATTCTTGTTCAGATTCTGCTAAAACAGATGCGAAGTTATAAATCCTTATAAACAGCCCAGCGTCCACATCAAAGCAAAATTTCCTCTAAATACTAAAATCACACATAAAATATACAGTACAGTATTTTTTTAAAAAAATTAACCTTAATGTTTACATTGTTCCCACTTTCCCAATCTCAGATGAACATTTTTCAACAACTAGCAAATTCTAATATTCATACTTCTTTCCTATATAATGTAGAACTGATAGTGAGCAGAAATAGTTTGCTATGTTCTATTTACAATCTATCTGAAATTGTAGTAGGTTATATTAATTCAGACTGAAATAAATTAAGAGAAAAAGAGAGTTGGAAACGATCTTTTAGTCCAACACCCCTGTTCAAGCAGGAGATCGTATACCATTCCAGACAAATGGCTGTCCAGTCTTTTCTTAAAATCCTCCAATGATGGAGCACGCACAACTTCTGAAGGCAAGCAATTTCACTGATTAATTGTTCTCACTGTTAGTTTTCTCTTTAGTTCTAGGTTGCTTCTCTCCTTGATTAGTTTCCATCCATTGTTTCTTGTCTTGCCTTCTGGTGCTTGGAAAATAGGTTGACCCCCTCTTCTTTGTGGCAGCCCCTCAAATATTGGAACACTGTTATCATGTCACCTCAATCCTTTTCACTAGACTAGATAAGTCCAATTCCTGCAACTAATCTTTACACATTTCAGCCTCCCGTCCCCTAATTATCTTTACTGCTCTTTCGTGCACTCTTTCCAAAGTCTTAACATCTTTTTTATAATATGGTGACCAAAACTGGATGCAGTATTCTAAGCGTGATCTTACTAAGGCTTTATTAAGGGGTACTAATAGTTCACGGGATCGTGATTCTGTTAATGCAACCTAGGATTATGCTGGAATCATCATCACCACCATCATCCCCCAGTGAGACACTACCTTGACGTGGTTGTGGAGCTTGTGTGCTCTGAGGAAGATGAGAGCTATGTCCCGAGGTTCGACCATACTGGACAGGTCTCATCAGAGGAGTCAGACAAAGAGTGTCTCTCCCATAAAAATATGTAAATTTCAGAAAGCCATACCAGCTTGGATGTCACCCAGGTTAACAAGGTCCACAGTAGATGATGGAGTTCCTGGATATCTGGTAAAAAATGGGCTACAGGACTCAGGACTGTTGGCTGAGCAACCAGCTGCAGAACTACTGGAAGAAAAGGTGTTTACCCGTTGCAAATATTGTTCTTGTTAGTTGCGAAGTCGTGTCCGACCCATTGCGACCCCATGGACAACGTTCCTCCAGGCTTTCCTGTCCTCTACCATCTTCTGGAGTCCATTTAAGCTCACGCCTACTGCTTCAGTGACTCCATCCAGCCATCTTATTCTCTGTCATCCCTTTCTTCTATTGCCCTCAATCTTTCCCAGCATTAGGCACTTCTCCAGTGAGTCCTTCCTTCTCATTAGGTGACCAAAGTACTTGAGTTTCAACTTCAGGATCTGGCCTTCTAAAGAGCAGTCAGGGTTGATCTCCTCCAAGACTGACCGGTTTGATTGCCTTGCAGTCCAGGGGACTCGCAGGAGTCTTCTCCAGCACCATAGTTCAAAGGCCTCCATTCTCAGCCTTTATTATGGTCCAACTTTCACAGCCATACATTGCAACTGGGAAAACCATGGCCTTGACTATACGCACTTTGTTGCAAATGTACAGTGATTGAAAACAAGAAACAATGATCTGTTATTACAGATCAAGTCCAACAAGAAGAGGATATTTGAAACGAATACACCAGTTCTGGAAAGAACAACATTCAGAATCAGAAATAACAGAATAGAGCCTAGCAGATCAATGTCAATTTATAAGACGAAATAAAGGATTCACAGAGGCAGAATGAGAAGAACTGCAAAGGTTCACCCAGGGCAAAGAACTCAAACCCTTGACAGAAATAACTCAGAACGCAGAGGCAAATCAGAGGGAGTTGGCAGTAGAGGAACCCAGTAGGGATATACAACTGTTTTCATTGGAAAACATTCAGCCTCAGGAAGAACAAAGCCTTCTAACTAAAGAAGTAAAAGAATTGAAACAAAGAATAACTGAACGTCTATCACAGCACAAAAACATCAGAATAAGGCTGCCTGCATTGACGCTTATTCCAAAGAAACAACTAGCACAAGCATTAAAAGATGCAAATACTGCAATATGAAGTATAAGCACCAACTTATTGCAAGAAACAAACCAACTAATGTGCAGCACAGCTGCAGTTATAACTGAATACTTGGGATGCAAAGGAGAAAAGAAACCAAACAGTGCCCCACAAAAATGGAAGGTTAGACTGGAAAATAAGATCAGCAATAAGGCTGATCAGAATCAAGCAAGCTAGAACAGATAAACGAAAAGAGACTGAAGAACAAGAAGACCAAAGAATATCTAATCAAGAAATACCACTTAGAAACAAGGAAGATCAAGGAAGCACTGGAAGTAATAAAGCAGCAAATAACAGCTATAGCCATGAAGATCAGCAAATACGAAGCTCGAATTGCAAATTATAGGCAGAACCTACCATTTCAATCCAACCAGAAATGTTTCTACCAATCCATCAAAAGAGTACCTGACAAGGAAGAAACAGTGCAGTTCTGGGCACAGATATCGAATAACCCAAATAAATGCAACAAGGACGCAGCTTGGTTAAAAGAGGTGGCTAAGAATAAAAAAGAAGTTGAAATGAAAGAACTAGTAACAACACCAGAAATGGTAGAGAAAAGAGCAAGGAAGATCAAGAATTGGTCAGCACTAGGTGAAGATGAGCTGCATGGTTTTTGGTTGAAACATCTAACTGGTCTATACTCACTCCTTGCCCAACAGTTTAACAACATACTACAAGGAGATGTAGATACTTTGGCCACCTAATGAGAAGGAAGGACTCACTGGAGAAGGGCCTAATGCTGGGAAAGATGGAGGGCAAGAGAAGAAGGGGACGACAGAGAATGAGGTGGCTGGATGGAATCACTGAAGCAGTGGCGTGAGCTTAAATGGACTTCAGAAGATGGTAGAGGACACGAAGACCTGGAGGAACGTTGTCCATGGGGTTGCGATGGGTCGGACACGACTTCACAATTAACAACAACAACGAGGAGATGAAATTGAAGAGTGGCTAACTTCTGGGAAAACGTACCTGATAATGAAAGATCCAGCAAAAGGGGCAGCACCAGGCAACTACAAGCCAATTACTTGCTTACCAACAACTTTCAAATTGCTAACTGGTGTGGTAGCTAATGCAGTCCAACAGCATCTAGTTGAAAACAATCTCTTTCCACCTGAGCAGAAAGGAAACTGCCCCAATAGCCGAGGACCAAAAGATCAACTCCTAATTGACAAGATGATCTTGGAAAACTGCAAGAGAAGGAAGACCAACCTGAATGTGGCATGGATTGACTACAAAAAAAGCATTCAATTCTCTGCCACATTACTGGATAATCAAGTGTCTAGAAATAACAGGAGTCAGTAGAAACATCAGAAACTTTGTGCAAAGATCGAGGGCAGAATGGAAGACACAAGTTGTGGGTCAACGGTGAGAGACTGGGAGAGGTTAATATCAAGAGAGGAATATTTCAAGGTGATTCAGTATCACCACTACTATTTGTCACTGCACTGTTTCCTGTCAACAATACTGAATAACTCAGGACATGGCTATCAAACATCAAAAATATCTCCCAGACTATCCCATTTCCTTTACATGGATGATCTGAAGCTGTATGGAAAAACACCATCTGAAACAGAATCGTTGCTCAACAATATTTGTATATATAGCCAATATATTGCAATGGTGTTTAGATTGGACAAACATGCCACTCTTAATATTAAACAAGGAAAAATAGTGAAAATTGAAGTAATCGAGATGCCCCGTGAAAATAACATTAAGAGTCGGGATGAGGACGATTACTACAAATACCTGGGTATCCTTCAAGTTGACAACATCAAGCATACTGAAGTCAAGAAAAAGATTAGAGGTGAATACATCAAGAGAATGAAAAAGTTCTTAAAATCCAAACTCAATGGAGGATATACCATTAAAACAACACCTGGGCAATTCCAGTCATTAGATACGCAGCTGGAATAGTGGACTGGACTCAAGCAGAACTAAAAGCAATGGATAGGAAGACCAGAAAAATAATGACAATGAATCATTCTGTTCATCTATGCAGGAATATTAACAGACTCTATCTACCAAGGCGAATAGATGGGTGTGGATTGTTGCAAGTACATCAGATGGTTGAAGAAGAAAAAAGGCTTTGGAAGAATGTCTGAAGGACAATGAAGAAGCACTGAAGTTAGTATGCCAGAAAGGCTTACTGACTACTGGAGAGACCAAACTAGCCTACAAGGAAGACAAATGTAGAACAGAATAGAGGCATGGGAAGACAAAGCACTACATGGCCAGTACATTAACAAACTATCAGGGAAAGCAGATAATAACAAGACCTGGCAATGGCTAAGAGCAGGAAAGTTGAAGAAGGAGACCGAGGGACTAATTCTGGCTGCACAAGACCAAGCCTTAAGGACAAATGCATACAAAGCTAGAATTGAGAAGACAGGAACAGACAGTAAGTGCCGCCTATGCAAAGAAGCTGAAGAAACAGTGGATAACTGGTAAGCGGCTGCAAGAAGATCACCCACACTAACTACAAGCAGCGTTATGACAAAGTAGCAACAATGGTGCATTGGAAGATCTGCAAGAAATATCATTTGCCTGCAAGAAAGAACTGGTGGGACCATAAAATAGAGAAAGTCATACAAAATGAAGAAGTTAAATCGCTCTGGAACTTTAGAATTCAAACAAACAGGCACCTGCCACATAACATCCTGGACTTAACAAATGTGGATAAGAAAGACAAAAAAAAGTCTGGATAGTGGGCAGGGCATTATCTGGAGACAGCAGAGTAGAAGAGAAAGAACTGAAGAAGAGAACAAAATACAAAGACTTACAAATAGAAATAGAACGACTGTGTCAAAGGCAAGCAAAGGTAGTACCAATAATAATAGACACTTGGGTGCAATCCCAAAACAACTGGAGCACCATTTTAACACCACTGGCATTGACAAATTCACCATCAATCAATTACAAAAGGTGGCTTTACTGGGGACACTTTCCATCCTGGAATGATATCTGTAACCCCATCCAACATCCATATCTGCCTATTCCAGGTCCTTAGTAAGGACTCGATAGGTAGACAAAAATGCCAAATCCAGTCTGAACGTATGGCTGACTGAGCTATTATTATTGTTATTATTACCTATTACAATCTTAAGCAGAGTCCATCTCCTAATAAAAACTCAAAATCAGTTTTTTGAGCATTCAAAGAGCTTACATAACTTTTTCAACCCTCATGCCAAATAAGATTGTTGTAAGATTCCCAACTAAAGAGAAACTAAGGCCACAAGAAATGCTTTGCTCTGAAATATAGTTTTACTTATGAAAGAAAAGAAAAAATGCACTTTACAAAACCTCAACAATGCCACTCCTTTATAACAGTTTGGGCACTAAAAGGAGCTGCTGAGGTTGAGCTTTAATAGGCTATTTTATTTTTATTTTCAGTGCTGCTGTTCTGTCTTTTCCTTTCACGGTTTTTCCTTAGGTAAATTTTCCATTTCCATTTTTCCTTTTTTGCTCTGGCTCTGTCAGGTACCCCAAACAGGTTTCAAACCCACATGGAAGCAGTTCAGAACAATTCAGAAGCAGCAACTTGGAACTTCCTGAGTTAAATAACCTTCTCTTAAATGTATGTATTACTCATATTGGTAAAGCAATTGATCTCTCATTTCTGCCCAAGGAACAACCAGTTTCACTTTGAACAAGTGTAGGCATTTTCCTTGGTAAAATCATAATGATCAGATCACCCTGTAGAATTCTGTGTGTGTGTGTGTGTGAGAGAGAGAGAGAGAGAGAGAGAGAGAGAGGGAGAGAGAGAGGAGGGGAGGGAAGAAGGGAGGGAGGGAGAGGGAGAGGGAGAGAGGGAGAGAGAGAGAGAGAGAGAGGGAGGGAGAGAGAGAGAGAGAGATAACTTGTGAAGAATACCTGACAAGAAAAATGTTTTATGACCAACATTTTTATTCCATGCAAGGTCCAACAGAGGACTACTAACAAGTGAAGAATAAATAATGCATAGATTGTCTCAGTTTAACCATTACTGCCTACTGCCCACAAGCATCCATCCTATGAGGGTAAAAGAGAAGACCCTGGACCATATCTAGAATCCGTCTTCCCCAAGCTTTGGTTTTCTGTTCAAACTTACCTGTCAGAGGCTGTGCTCTGTTTCGCATCTTCTGCTTCTGCAGTTTGTCCTTGATGACTTCCATCATGTTTTTCTTAGTCACATGGAGCACGCCTAGGTTATTAAATCTGATAAAAGACAAATTATCCTCTACTGCACTGCAGTAACAATCACAATGGCTACGTGGGCAGCAACCTGCTCAAATTCTAGACACTGGTACTGAGATGAGCATGTTAAAAAAACAAGGCAAATCTCCAAACATTTAAAAAATGGAGTTTTTCGTACCATTATTGTATATCGTATAGCAGCAATCAAAAGGCACCAGGGAGCTAAGAAAGAATTGATAGGGGAGCAGTAAAGCCCAATGCTCCGTCTTTTTAAAACCATGCAGGCGATACCAAATTTAACTCTGGACTATGCAAATGATAGGCTTACTTTTATTGATCATAAAGCTCCCTTTATTTAATTTCAGTGAATAAACAGGGGCTTGAAAATTGGAACAGGAATAAATTGATATGTAGTTGCCTTTTACCGTGTCTTTTTCAACTCTAGGTTGTTTTTTTTATTAGTTACAGTTATCAAACTTGATACTGGTTCCTTTATTTGCTTCTTAATGATGTTTTAACAGCAGTTGTAAACAAGCTGATATCTTCATTTACCATAATCCAGATTTTCCATGTTAATTAGCCACCGCCAGTTACCGTATATTCTGGCGTATAAGGCAACCCGGCGTATAAGACAACCCCCATCTTCGGCGCCGAGTCACATGCCTAAAAAGTCATCTTATACACTGGAAACTACCGTTATTTCCGGCGTATAAGACGACTCGGCGTATAAGACGACCCCTGACTTCGGCGCCAATTTTAAGGCTTGCGAAAGTCGTCTTATACGTCAGAAAGTACGGTAATACATATTAATGTATTGGTAACTCTTTTATTTACAAACTTGTTTGTATTAAACAGGTTTGTTTTATTTTTATCCTGGTGTTCATTTTTTCTATATTTTATTGATATATTAATGTATATATGAACTTTTAATATCACACATCTACTTTTCTCGCCAACAAGCAAGCATGCCAATGATTTGCATAATATCCATTACAAAAATGTGGATTTTCTGATGTTTGCTTAAACTATTGGAATTTTGACTGATTTATAATATGTTATGAAAAGCCGCCTACAGATGGCCAAAAGGACTAGAAACTATAGCAAAAAACTGTTAGACCAGACATGTCAAACTCACGACGTTACGTGACGTCGCGCAACATATCGGGACTGTTTTGCCATTGCCGGCAATGGGGTGGGTGCAGCTTCCGCGTGAGGCATCCGGCCCGCGGGCCGGCAGTTTGCCACCCTTGTGTTAGACCATCAAAACTGGAACACCGAACATAAACATCAAAAAATATCTTCATATTTTAAAAAATTAATCGTATACTCTTTATTTGGAAACTGCTTGTAGATATAATTCTGGACATAAAATTCTGCAACGTCCAAAATTTAGGTTTCTCTTAAAGTAAGATTTTAAAAGGTTCTGTCTCACTGGCCATAAAATTAATGGCAGTTTCAGATTAGCTAGAACTTAATTCTTATTATTTGATTATTGTTATTGCTGCGGCTGTTTTTATTAGTAAGCTAAATCTCAAATTATTTTTTATATAGTACGTTATTTTCACTCATAATATACTAATCTCTTATTCACCAGTAGTCAATATTTTTAAAGTGCCAAATTCTTATAAGGCTATTTAATAAATTGTTTTAGTGTTGCTAATGCAATAAATGTGGGTTTTTTTTCCTTAACATTCTGTAAATTCCTAGCTAATTTTTACAGTTTGTAAATCTCTTTCTGTCTCTTTTTCCTTGGTTCTATTCTTAAGTATCTAAAACTAAATTATATTCATACATACATACATATGTGTGTGTGTGTATGTGTGTGTAGGTGTGTGTACACTTATACACACACACATATAATTTAAATTTTTTATTTAGAAACCTTCCATAATACTACAGATAATGCTCATTTAGCGACTACAATTTAGCAATATGGTCATTAAGCAAAGCGGTCACTAAGTAAAAGTACAATTATGCTTATGATCTTACTTCAGCTTTCCTTTGCTTTATAAACCTGTATCAAGCTATGAAACCTACTGCCCTTAGGGCCGCTGTGTGCTTCTAGCTTGCCTACAGAGAGGGGAGGGAGATGGGGTGGAAATCTGGGGAGGGGGGGGGGAAACGGGACTTTGGATTATCATCATGAGACCCAAAGAGTTATTTTGGCAAACTAAAGTTTCTTCTCATAATAACTACTGGGAGATGTATTGGACAATATGACCTGAACTGTCAGTGAGGGGAGAAGAGTCATTCTTTTAATTAACTGCTTCCCACCAGTTCTTCAGAGCTAGCTTTCACTTTAATCCTACCTGTATGATATTGCTTAATAAAGTTTACATTAGAGGACACAATGGCTCTGGTGTTTTTCTTAGTTGGGCTTTTCAGCCAGAGCTTGACAGTCGTAAATGTAAGGACTGGTTGTAAAGTTACTTTTTATTACTACTGTAATTGCAAATTAAACAAGGCAGTCACTAAATGAGGACTATCTGTAGCACCTACTTGCTCAATCTGAATGGATGGTGTGAGTGAAGCTTTACAGAGAGAACACCCAAGTATTAAAGCTTGTCCTCTGAAAACACGTTTCAATACACTTGTACACTATATGGTTTCTCTATAGCAGGCATGTCAAACTGACGGCCCACGGGCCGGATGCATCATGCAGAAACCGCGCCCACCCCATTGCCGGCAATGGGGAAAGTCGCAATACATCGTGCGACATCACGTGACGTCGCAAGTTTGACATGCCTGCTCTATAGCCACCACTCCTTTTCATACAAAGAAAACACAATGTTTCCCACAATGAAATTATATATATCTGCTGAATTTTCCAAATGGCAGAAAGCTTCAGCTTTCATTAAATAAGATACTGCAACCCATCCAATCTAACAAATGAAACAAAACGCTATCATGAAACAGGTCTTGCCTTTTGAACCCCACCATCATTCCTCCATCAGTAAGTCATACATACTGGGCAGTCATGTCCTTTGGGCCCACCATCACAATGCAGTTGCCAGCTTCATTACACTGTTTTCCCACAAGACTATGAGCGTGCACTTGGGGAGGATCAGTGTGTGTCACCAAGTCCACCTCTATCCTAGCCAGTCCAGTGTAATTAGAGATCTGCCAATAAAAATTATACAAAATGACATCAAGGAGATGCTTCCATAAACACCATCTTTCTATGAAACACTCATTCTTCAAATGCCTGTGGAACTTTAGAAAGAAATATTGCCACATATAATTTATACTGAATTAATTTACGCTCATGATACAAGCCTATCAAGTTTCATTAACACAGACAGACTACAATAGCCTTTACATAGCTAGAAACAAAGGTCAGTTTTAGAACATTGTTTAAATCCATAGCCACTAACAGCAATTCAGACCGTATGACACCATTGATCATATATGCATACAGCAAACATGCAATGAATCTTAACTTAGTAAGCGGTAATATTTATTATTTTTGTTTTATTTATTAAATAAGTACCCAAAGTAACTCTGGGTAGTTCATGTTAAGAACAAGCAGAACGCTCATACTTCTGCCTTTATGAAAGAAGTAAGCAACGAGATAAAAATAGCACAATGAAATAATTAATTTCGAAAGTCTGATTTAGTGTACCTCAAAAAAGCTATTTTTACTGATAAATTGTTTGAATATAATAAATATCTTAGTTTATCTGGCTTGCTTATCTGCTCGCATTAGGTGAAAATGAAATTACTTATGGATAGAAGCAGGTGGTCTTTTCAACCTGGTTAATTCCATACATTCGCATAGTACATTTTCTTGATTTTAGTTTAATCTAATATACAATTATGTTTTAGCCAGAAAATTTAAACTTCTTTTATATATAATTCTTGTTGCACTCTACCCAGCTGGCTTTGAGGAATTTTCTGAAGCAAACAACACAAATTGAAATCCAAGTTTTTAAAAAGTTGATCCTAACTTGATTTTAAAAATTATTTAATTTTAAAAATTAAAAAAAATGAGAGCTGAATGCAATGAAATTTCATTTTAATGTATGCTGATTAGTGTACATTTAAAATGACAATAAAGTTTCTATTCTATTTTAACTTAATCTTATTATTTTGTTATTTAGATCCTATACCAAAGGAACCAAGATTAATTAACTCAATAATTCACTTAGAGTTCTGAATGCAAAATACAGGTTCCAAAAGAATTGTACCCTTTACCCCTAAGGAAGGATAAAATATACCATGACAATCACGGTTTCACATCATGCTCTTCCTTTTTATTCCTGGGCACTCTCTGTCTATGGTATTAAGACCAGCCTAGTGTAGAATTAAGCCAAATCAAAATTTTCTATTCCTACAGAACTAATGTTCAGTTGCTCTGGAATCAAAAGCCAACAGGACAATAGATTTAAGGCCCAAGAGTAACACTGCAAACATAAATGAATTTACTTCAGTCAGTTATCTGTAACAACCAGGAATAATGTTTTGAAAACTTAAAAGTATTGCAATGTGTACCAAAAATAATCACTTTACTGACCTTCTGTCCCTTATCTTAATTAATCAGAAAGTCCAAACAAAATATGTACCAAATAATAAGACTTTTTCTAAAGACAGAAAAGGCAATGGAGATTACTCTTTCTTAAAAAAAGTTTTCTTCATAAAACATGATAAATAAATGAATGTGTTGCTCACCTTGACAGTGGGATAAGTCTTGTGTCCCTTCTCACTAGATGCTCCAGGTAGCCCACCATGCGAAGGCCCTTCACAGCCATAACGGAACCGGAAACCTCGCTGCCAAAAATGATAATTCAAACAAAGTCATTCCATCAGAAAAAAACCAGAAAAATCAGAAAACATTTGCCTACAATAGGCTATAGATGGAGGGGAATGATGGAGTCCTTGGTGCTCTTTAAGCTTGGATGTTTGTTTGCAGGCATTACAAAAGTACACTGAAGATGTTACCTACTGTGGTAACAAAACTTCTGCAAACAAATAAGCTCAGAGAACACAAAGTTCAAGGCTGTGAATCCACAGTTCAACCATGAGCTAGATATATATATATATATATATATATATATATATATATATATATATATATATATATATATATATATATATGTATGTCTTTGGTTGTTCGGGTTTTCTCCCGCGTAAAATTGGAAGTGTCTTGGCGACGTTTCGACGAAGTCCCATTCGTCATCTTCAGGCTGGTGTTTTCAGCTTCGTGCTTCGAGCAGCAATGGGAGAAAACCCGAACAACCGAACAACCAAAGACCTACATACAAATACCCGCGAAAACCTCAGAAACATATATATATATATATATATATATATATATATATATATATATATATATATATATATATATATATATATCTCCTTAGAAAATCCTTACCTGTTTTGGCTGTTCGATTATAGTGAGAAATGGGCCTTCAACTAAAACAAACAAACAAGATGATATTCAGAGCATCCCAATATTAAATACTTATAAATACAATGTAATACAATTTAAGAGGAACATTATTAACAAAACACACGAAGGCAGAAAATTAGTTCCTTCCCTCTGTTATCTATAGTTCCACATCTCTCAGGACACATAACTTAACCAAAAGGTTCCTTACCTGTCTCCATGAACAGTTCTTTCTGCTCAATCAAATGAGCGCCAAACTGAAAATCGTCATAGTCTATCCCATCTAAGCACTGCATACAAACAAGGATCAAAGGACAAAGAAAGCCTTAACTCCCAGATGATTGAAAGCATTATAGACATAGCATTATGAAGATTATAAATAATGTAGACAGTCAACAGGAATCTACATTAAGTCTGTAGTACTAAATGACAGCTAAATGAAAACACTGAGAACAAAAAGCAACTTATTTAAGGCAAGGTCTCCTGAGCATCTGACAGCAAAGAACACTCCCATTCAACCCTCTGTACTGATGGAAGACTACAATTCACATAAACAGATGCACTTTAAATATGCAGGCACCACTCTTTAAAGTTAGGCAACCCCCAAATCCAATAAATACCTAAACAAGAATGTTAGATAAGTTTCTTAGGACATACCTCTCATCGGGAAGAAGACAAATATGAGAATGATATCGACAGTTAAGTTGTTTGGGGAAAAGAAAAAAATAAGCATTTACCCCACTATTGCTTACTTCACATATGAAATCAATCATTTTTACATATTGATAAGACGGTTGTCCAACAGAGAACACAAGTCCCGGCTATTCCTTTTTTCTTTTTCTTTTTTTGGGTAGCACTTTGTTAGGGAAGGACCGTTGAATAATGCATATTTTGCTTGCCTTTGGGCCCAAACCAATAACCAAGGCAGAGAAGACAACTTTGTTATTATTATTATTTTAAGCCTTCCAAAGTACGTGGAGTGACCCTAACATTTTGAGAACATGTATTTTCCCACCTTGCCGGCCTTCAAGAAAGCCATTAAAACTCTCCTGTTCCGGCAGGCCTGAGGTTGATGTGGGGGGGGGGGAGGATACGATTGGGACATGCTGTATGAATGCACTTATTTTTATTGTTATATTTATTGTTTTAATTCTGTACGCTGCCCCGAGTCCCTAGGGATTGGGCGGCATATAAATTGTATTAATAAATAAATAAACAGGGATGTTATTATTTACTATTAAAGTTAGTACTATTTTTATTATTATTTTTATTATTATTATTATTATTATTATTATTTAATATATTGTAAAAAGTGATGGCTATTGCTGGTCTACGACCGTAATAAAGTTGTTTATTATCGCTCATCGCACAGTCAGCCAGATGTTCAGACTGGATTTGGCATTTTGTCTACCTATCGAGTCCTTACCCAGGACCTGGGATAGGCAGATGTGGATGTTTGATGGTATTACAGATATCGTCGCAGGATGGAAGCAGTTCCTAATAAGGCTGCCTTTTGCAATTATTATTATTATTATTACTATTACTATTATTACTACTATTATTACTATTATTATTATTCCAAAGTACATGATCCCAAAAGAGAACGCAGCTTTTGCCAGCTTGGGAGATAGCGAACTTGGAAGAAGCCAAGGACGAGAAAGGAGGCCCAGATTTTCAGCCAGATCCCAAGTCGAAGTGAATTAAGGAGGGAGGGAGGGAAACTTCCAGGCAACGGGAGACTCACCGCGGGATAGCCTTCGCCATCCATGGAGGATCTTTCTAGCTTAGGATGACGGAATTGGCAATCCGGCTCTGCGAAAGAAACAGAACAGACGGAGGAGCTTTACAAATCAAAACCAAGCACGCCCTTTCTGCTGTTGCCGCCGCCGCCGCCGCCGCCAAAAGAAACTTAGGGGAAACTGGGCGGGCAAGGTAGTACGGCTGGAAAGTCCCTAGAAACCCAGCAAAGCCCAAGAGAGGGAGGGACAGAAGGCAAAGAAGGCAGGCTCTGCTCGCTTTTCTCGCGGCTTCTTCCGCCTTCCAGGCAGCCTTTCTTCAGCGCCAGGCCCTCTTGCGGGGCGGGCAAGAAAAGCGCTGCCAAAGGGCGCTGTTGGGAGATGGAGAAGCGCTCCCAAGTCTTCCGGGGAGGGAAGGGAGGTAGACCCGGGGCCCGCCTCGTTTTCTCCAGTAAGCGAGGTCAGCTTTGCCCCGCCTGCTGATCTGGCGTCGTGGGAAACTTCCCGTAACTCCCCTGCCATGCTAGCATTGCGACCGGCGTCGGATCCGCACGTGGTTGGTTATCCTCGTTCGGGGAGGAGGAGGAGGAGGAGGAGATGATCCGCTTCCTCCGGGAAATGGAAGTCTCTTTGGAGAAACCCTAAGGCAGGGGCCTTCAAACTTGGCCCTTTTATGACTTGTGGACTTCAACTCCCAGAATTCCTCAGCCAGCTTACGCTGGCTGAGGAATTCTGGGAGTTGAAGTCCACAAGTCATAAAAGGGCCAAGTTTGAAGGCCCTTTGCCCTGAGGAGAAACCAAAGGGCGGGTTAGGATAGAATAAGGTCCGGCCGCTGCCGCCACTCACCAACCATTTGCCCCCAAACCGCTCTGCCATCCTTGAGGCCAGACTTCCCCGGCCTTGCTGAGCCCCGCCCGGCCCTCCTGCCGGGGTTTCCCGCTGTCAGCTGGTTTCTGGAGGGCCGGGCTCCGGCGGGGGGTGAGGGCGAGCGACGCCTCTCGCCAAGAACGCCGCCTTAGGTCGCCTGAGCGGCCCAGAAGAAGCCTCCTCTCGTCAGCCTTCGCCCGCTGAAGTCGGGCTGGAACGGGAAAAGTTGGAGAGACGCCGGGCTTGCCGTTTCGAGCGGAGAAAGCCCTCTCTCTTTTTTTTTTTTTAAAATCTCCGTTTCAAGAACAGTTTAAAACAGTGTTTCTCAACCGTGACAATTTTAAGGCATGTGGACTTCAACTCCCAGAATTCCACAGCCAGCAATGCTGGCTGTGGAATTCTGGGAGTTGAAGTCCACATGCCTTAAAATTGTCAAGGTTGAGAAACACTCAGAAAAACGACAGGCAGGGAAGTGAATGAGGGAGGGAGAAATGATAAGAGAGAACTTTTATTGTCATTTTTTTTTTTTTTTACTGTGGGCACAACAGCACACCTCAAAAATGAAAGACGCTGGGCTTGCCCTTCCGAGCGAAGAAACCGCTCATCTTTTTTAAAATCTCCGTTTCAAAAGCAGTTTAAGAGAAAAACGACAGGCAGGGAAGTGAATGAGAGAGAAATGATAAGATAAAAGATAAGATAACCTTTATTGTCATTTTTTTTTTCCTGTGGGCACAACGGCACACATCAAAAATGAAATTTAGTTGCCCGCTCTCAAAGTGAAACACATACATGACACCAGTGCTTTTTTTGTTAAAAAAAAAAAAATTGTTAATGATTGTTCTACAAATGTAACCCAGACAACACACTGTTCACCAATTATTAAGTGATTTATGTTTTTAAAAAATCAATAAAATATATTACAAAAAGAGAGAGAATTCAGCTTCCTCCATTGGCTTTGCTTCTTGGAAACCAGCTGGGAAGGTCTCAAATGGAGTTCACGGGATTCCAGGACACTACAAGTCATCTCCAAACAATATGAGCAGCACATACATTTAAAAAGTAAAAAACCAAACTCATAAATATACACTGGTTGCTAAGTGCCTGAACTATGATCTCAGTAGGGAAATTGCAGGGGTTTGGCTGGATTCACTCTTTTCAGTGCTGTTGTAATGAATGCTCACTAAACAAATGGTCATTTTTTGGTTGTTACCACAGGTTGCAACAGTACACAGTATAACAAAGAATGAAAGGAGTAATTAAAAGAGGAGGAAGTATAACAACACACACATGGAAGAAAATTAAGATGAAACCAATACCAAAACTGAAAGCTTAAAAATTTCTAAGTTTAAAATAAAGCATTATTACTAACAGTTGGAATCCCTTCCTCTGGGAGATAGTTCAGTCGTTCAGTAACTTTACTGATCCTTTAAGTTTACCATCCATATTTTCCCCTAGATTTCATTGTAGATAGGGCAGGAGAAGATGTCTTTGTGCAGAGACACTGTGAAAGTTGGACCATAAGAAAGGCTGAGCGCCAAAGAATTGAGGCCTTTGAACTATGGTGCTGGAGAAGACTTCTGCGAGTCCTCTGGACTGCAAGGCGTTCAAACCGGTCAGTCCTAGAAGAGATCAACCCCGACTGCTCTTTAGAAGGCCAGATCCTGAAATTGAAACTCAAATACTTTGGCCACCTAATGAGAAGGAAGGACAAACTGGAGAAGGGCCTAATGCTGGGAAAGATGGAGGGCAATAGAAGAACGGGACGACAGAGAATGAGATGGCTGGATGGAGTCACTGAAGCAGTAGGTGTGAACTTAAATGGACTCCAGAAGATGGTAGAGGACAGGAAGGCCTGGAGGAACGTTGTCCATGGGGTCGCGATGGGTCGGACACGACTTCGCAATTAACAACAACAACTGTTGTATTTAGCTTTACCTAATTTTCTTTATTGGTAGTTCTGGCCATGTACAATGACACTGAGACCAAAACCCACCATCTGATGAGGGAAAAAATCCCCATGAGTTCAAGAAGTGTCTGATACTGTATCAATCCCATTTAAGACCATTGAGACCTTGTGACTTTTCCTATTGGCCACGCAGATAGTAGCAGCATGGCTTGGCACTGCAGCCAATTAGTGCTTATAAGGAATGTTCTCGGCAGCCTGGCTTTAACAATAGGTTTTATAATGAGAAGGCTTGGATTTTAGCAACTTTTTCTCTCCAGATATTTCCTGTCTGTTTAGTCTGTCTGTCGATCTAATTTATATAGCCCCTATCTTACAGTATTGACTATGGGTGATATACAAGGGTTAAGAACTAATAAGCAATGGTCAATGACACCTGAAATAAAAAATAGTCTCAGTCAGAAAAACCACATCAACAGCAAAGTTCAAACACCTGCAGAAACAGCTAAGTCTAATACCATAGATAGTTAGCCCAAGGGATACCTTGCAATTAGTGCTAAAAATTCTATTCAGCCAGAAAAGTTGAAATTAATGATAGAGCTCAAATTTGAAAAACAAGCATATATTCAGGTACCCCTGGGCTGCGGAAGCTGAAAAACCACTTGTTTTCCAGATGCGATCTTTCCCTGTGGATTTAGCCCAAGGAATATCTTGCAATTAGTGCTAAAAATTCTATTCAGCCAGAAAAATCAAAATTTATGATAGATCTAAAATTTCAAAAACAAACATATATTCAGGTGCCGCCGGGCTGGGGATGCTGAAAGACCACTTGTTCATAAGCACTAGGGACACTTGTCACGTAGCTTCGAACGGGCGCTAAGTGAACCCTTGTAACTCAGGGATTACCTGAATGACAAATGCTGAATTCCAAATATAGCACTAAGCTTCACTTTTGAGCCAAACATTGAATTTGAAAAACAGACATGTAATCTGATTATTTCCTGGCTTGAAGCAGGAAAAGCACTAGTTTTCAGGATTTGCTCTTTGTCTGAGGAGCAGACAAAGGCATAACTCCAGCATCGGTTATAATTGGCTTCTAGCAATTAGACGTTATGCCTTTGATTTTCTGCTCACATAATAAACGGGTTCTGAAAACTGCTGGTTTTCCTGCTTTTCCGGGCCAGGGAGAATATGATTACATGTATTTTTTTTTCAAATTCAATGTCTGTCTCAAGTTCTGGCTGAATGGGAATCCGGCATTCGCCAAGATGGGCCTCCTAGCAATTACAAGTTATGCCTTGGATTATGTTCTCAGAGAAAGATCCTGAAAACAAGCAGCTTTCCTACTTCCCCATGCCAGGGTGAACCTGATTATGTCTGTTTTTCAAATTTCATGTTTTTCTGAAATGGGAAGCTTAATACCTAGATGGGAATTTTCCTTTCAGTATAATTGACCTAAGGCAATTGCTAAGTTATGACTTGAAATATTTCCTTGGACAAAGAGCAAATCCTGAAGCCAAGTGATTTTCCTGCTTCTCCTGGCCAGGGAGAAAATGGTTACATGTATTTCAAATTTGATATTTGGGTCAAACATGAAGCTTTGTGCCCGAATTGCCATTCAGTATTGTTTATAAGTGGACTCCTGGCAATTGCAAGTTATGCCTTTGACTATCTCCTCAGATAAAGTGTGTATCCTGAAACCAAGTGGTTTTCCTTCTTCTGGCAAGGAAGAATATGATTACATGGTTTTTTTTTTCATATTTGATATTTATCTGAAAAGTGAAAGTGGGAATTCAGCATTCACTATAATTGGCCCCTTATCTATTGGAGGTTATGACTTGGAATATCTCCTCAGAGAAAGTAAATCCAGAAACTAAGTGGTTTTCTGGTCCTCCTTTCCAGGGACATGATTACCTGTCTGTTCTTTAAATTGTATGTTTTTCTGAAAAGGAAATGCAGTGGCTAAATAGGAATTCAGCTTTCACTATAATAAGTCTCAAAACAATTCCAAGTTATATTTTGGACTATCTCGCCAGATAAAGAATGGATTCCAAAACCAAGTGGTTATCTTGTTTCTACTTGCTAGGGTGAAAATGATTATGTGTCTCATTTACAATTTGATGTTTGTTGGAGAAGGGAAGCTTAATATCTAAATGGGGATTTGTAATTTGTTTTAATGAGCCCCCAAACAATTGCAAATTATATCTTGGACTATCTCCTCAGATACTTCTACTTGCCATGGAGAACATGATTCCATGTCTCTTTTTTCAAGTCTGATGTTTCTGTGGAAATAGAATGTTAGTTTTCACATTGGTATTTTACTATAATTGGCCACATGCTAATTATAAGTTGTCTCCTAAACACTTAATGTGGACACTTAGCGATAGCAAAACAGATTTTTAAAATTTTTAAATGGTTACATATTAACTGCTTAATAAACTGCTTGTGCATACCTTTTCTTCAAATAAGATTTTTTTCCTGTTATTTGAAGACAAGAATATCACTTACCTTCTCCAATCCTGTGACACCATATCTATTTTCATGAGGAGCTTCAGAAAAAGTATCTCCAAAATCAAATCTGTAGCTCATCTTTACGAGGTGCTTCATAGCATGATTTGCTCATTATTTTTGTGGGATGTGTCTATGTCATGTTTATCTTACTCTCAGCTTACTGCTGGGGCAGTCTATCACTGCTTTTTTTGAGTCATCAAGTTGATAAATTAATTTCTTGGCATTTTTACAGAAAATTAGAACTTTTCTGACAGTAGAAACAATTAACAGAGGAACAGCGTGCCTTCAGAAGTTGTGGGTGCTCCATCAAGTGAACAATCTTTTTTTTTTTTTTAATGGTAAGGTGTCCTGCATGAGCAGGGGATTGGACTAGAATACCTCCACGGTCCATCCAACTCTGTTGTTCTGTCAGCACATATTTCTTCACTCAGAAATCCTTACTAGATTAACCATATATAATTTATTAGTTTGATAAGGAGAATTTTAGTTTTAAAACTGTTACGAAAGGTCATTGTTAAGTAATTAAAGGGAAAAGGCAAATAGAGTCAGCTTAATGAATTTGCTTTTGTGAAAGCATAAAAAAAGGTCAAAGAGATGTTTAGAGAATCAAGTAGTAGATCATTAAGTAAAAGTTTAATAATATAGCAGTTTTATTAATAATACAGTAGTGAAACTATACATTCAAATTCAACTGTGAGAAAGTTGGGAGAGATGCAAGCACCACTCATGATCTTTTCTTTTTTTTTTGCTGAATGGTTTAAAAAAGATATATAAACAAACAATATACAAACAAACAAGAAAAAGGCAAGAAAAAAGTAATAAAATACATATC